GATGATAATCAATAAGCCAATAAACGTGCTGTTACCGCGCAGAGCGCGATCTTGTCCCACCCTGCATCCTAATTACTTTTTTATCGATTTGAAAACCGTGAAACGCAAAGCGTGTAACGTGCATATCTCGAAACAAACCCAGACAAATAAACACCGGAACGAGCCGTTTTTTCACCGTATTCTTTTATCTTGACAGGTAATAACAGGAGCGCGAGCGGATCGAAGAGTATCTCCGTACGAATCGCCGCTGGAATCACGACAGGCGCCCTGGCGGTGCTCTTTGCTCAACCGACCGACGTCGTCAAGGTACGCCTACAGGCTGGAAGTAATGGAGGATCGGTGAGATATAGCTCCACCCTGCAAGCGTACAAGAATATCGCTGCCGAAGAAGGAACGCGGGGCCTTTGGAAAGGTACCATCCTTCAAATTGTATTACGATTAAGTCCAACTTACGCGATATAAATATACGATATACTTTCGCTCTAGGCGAGTATACGGATTCCCGATATTAGTCGAAAATTCGAGATAAATTTCGTTATGATCTCAATATTCGGGTAAAAAAAAAAAAAAATTTTGTATGCAGCATATATGTTTATGGAATATTTGAAACAGCCAATAATGCGCTTTAAGCGATAAAAAATAATTTATATTCTCCGATTGTATTCTCTAATTGTCGTAAAAAAAACATAACAACATGGATTGATTTAAATTTCAAATTCGCGAGCGACATTGATAGAGAAAAATTAATTAAATATTTCTAGTAGCTTATTAATCGATTCTAATTTCGAAATTTTCTCTCTCTCTCTCTCTCTCTCTCTCTCTCTCTCTCTCTCCCCCATTCGATCTAAAGATCGAAATCAAACGTGTGCGAATCACGTTTAAAATTAATCACGAATTCTCCCTTTATTCAGGAACTATGCCCAACATCTCGAGAAACGCGATCGTGAACGTGGCGGAGATCGTTTGCTACGACATCATCAAGGATTTCATCTTGGAACACGGATATCTGCGCGATGGGATTCCCTGCCACATTACGGCCGCGGTGGCGGCAGGGCTGTGCACCACGTTGGCAGCCAGCCCTGTGGACGTGGTGAAGACTCGTTACATGAACAGCGCCCCCGGCGAGTACAAGGGCGTCAAGGATTGCGCTGTTCGTATGATGATGAAGGAAGGGCCGTCCGCGTTTTACAAAGGCTTCGTGCCCAGCTTCACGCGGCTCGTTTCCTGGAACATCGTTCTCTGGATCACTTACGAGCAGTTCAAGGTCTACGCGAAGAAGCTGAACCAGTAAACAATTACACATCCCCCTACGCGTCTCTACGTCGTTCTCGTCGACCGACTGGGGCGCGTCTTCGTCGATTCACTAAACACACACACACACACACACACACACACACACACACACACACACACACACACACGCGCGACAACCGTGTTTTAATCAAACTGCAGCTTCATAATCTGTATTTCGATCGTGTAGCTTAGGGATGGGAGGATGTATGTAATCGTGTATCGGTTTAGATTTGATCGTTTCGAGTAGAGAATATCTTCGCTTGCCGTCGTTCGCATTACTTATTTACATATTTCACGATAACTTTGACGCGTATATATATATATAAGTTTTTTTTTGTTTCTTTTTTTTTTTTTTCTTTTTCTTAAGTAGATAGTGCATGTTACAGATTCATCGAGCGTTACTTATTACTTTGTATTATCGAGGGTAGATCGGGTATATAATTATAAATTTTGATAACATTTTGGGGATCTTTATTGTGAGGGGCAGCTCTTTGTATCTATATCGCTAGTTTTTCTACCTAATACGTATACGTATGTAACGATTACTCGTAGAGACTCTTGCTTATGCATACGTAGAGGGTGATTATGATTTACGATAAATGAAGCTATTGCGCTGCTATTCTGTAAGATATAATTGCTCGCACGAAATTAGATGTATATTAGTGTTTCTTTATCTTTACTAAAAGATTTAAGTCTAAGACGATTTATAAGCACAATTATGTTGATATTACTAATAGCTTTGTTGCAAACGACGGCAATCAATTCTCCCATCATATCGTTGTATTTTCATTTTTCTTTCCGGTAGATACGACCGCGCGTGCATTCTAATTTGAATAAGAGAAAAAGAAGAAAAAGAATCTATTGAAAAAAAAAAGTAAAGAAACGGAAAAAAAAAAAAAAGAAATTGTCCGTCCGCGAATTCGAATACTGTAATTATAATTGTAATTGATGAATTTTTAAATTATCGATTGAAAGGAAAGAAATAAAAAAAGAATAAATAAATAAAATAAAATAAAAGAGTGCACGTACGATCGAGAATATCTTTAGAAATCTGTCAATAATCCATAATGAAACATTTTTGGCTACGTAAGTCAGCTTTAGAAACATTTAGTAGGACAATAGAGGAAAAGAAATTTCTCCCCTGATAAAAAATACTTAATATAAAAATCACGCGCATTACGATACGCCAGACAGACAATAAGGTTTCAAAATTGATTTCGAGTATTTGCGAGATCTGTTGACACGAGCTACACACATGTACGATGATTATTCGACTGATTTTCTTTTTTTAATGACTACGATTAATTCTTCGATATACTATGATAACAAACGCCGAGCTAAACGAACATCCTCCGCTGTATCTGTGTGTATAATTGTAATTCGTTCTTTTAAACAATTATGTTTACGCGGGATTTAATTTTTTTTTTTCTTCCAACAATTGCTAGAGATATTTAAAAGAAATACGGGCGGATATTTAACAATCTGATTTCGGGTCAATTAATATTATATACAGGGCACAATTTTTATCGAATTTCGATCGACGACTTGTAGTCTGTTTTTTAAAGCTATGTTACCATCTATTGATGTATGTTTCACATTAAAGAGCAATTCTTATTATCTTATTAATTTCGATTGTGTCATCTATCCATTATATCGTTCTCTCTCTCTCTCTCTCTCTCTCTCTCTCTCTCTCTCTCTCTTTCTCTCTCTCTCTTTCTCTTTTTTTTTAATACTTACTAACAATTATCCACGTTCATCGGTGAAATGAAATTTTATTTCTTATTTCATCCATCTTTGAAGACGTACAACTTTTTAACACAACACATTCACATCGATCTTCGTGAAATCCGTAATTGTAGCTCGGGTATATCATACAGTATTACTTATTATTATTATTATTATTATTATTATTATTACATTCAATCAATATCAATTTAGACCAGTTCGTTACTATCGTTACGTCATTTGATAGATACAATTTTCTATTGGAGGAATTTCTCTTTTAATATGTATACTATGTAACGAAAGATTTTACTGCCTCTTATATATTGCGTAACTGAGAAGCTGCAGAATTGGATGAAAATATCCAACCGAGAATAATATTTACCGATTTCAAGAAGAACGTTTATTATTATCTCTATCCTATTAAATATATATATATATATATACTTTGTATTAAGTGTCTTTAATTGTATAACGAAATAAGTATATTTCACGATGGGCACCGCTTTAAGAAGTATTTTGCATGTGAATGTTCTGATCGTAGGTGGATTACGATGCAATTATTTTATAAAACGTATTAAAAAAAAAAAAATATTAAAAAAGGGAGATACGGATTAAATTGCGTGTTTCACAATTCGTAGAGCTGGTTTGCTGCGCGCGTTTAAATTTAATTAACACGGTTCTTTATGATATGTGACATAGGTCATAGGCTAAATTACCTTTCATTACGCCCATGAGAATTTAAATAGATTTGACTAAAAAATATTGCTATCGCGCGTTTTAATTTCGCGCGTTTTTTAAAGTTTAGAAAAAAAGCAAGGAAGAGAAAAAGCTTTTTCTCGATTATTCTTTATTCTCTTTGTTCTCTCTCTTTCCCTCTCCTCTCTCTTATTGCACAAATTCTTTTCGCGAATTACAAAAAAAAAAAGGTGATTTTTCCTCTTTCTTTTCTCTCTTTTTCAATATACTTTATATTCGATACGTTGCACGCACATCCCATCGATCGAGCTTCGATTCAACACAATCGTCGAGCGCAATGTATGTTTTACTATATTTTTAAACGAATCCTCTCTTTATCTTTCCGTTTTTGGTAATTTTTTAGATTGAAGATTATATTCTAATATCGTTCTAAGCATTGTATATGTATCGCTTGTATGCAGCTTGTATTAAAGATTGAGCAACACAATTATTAAATTTCTCGAATTTGGTAAAATTTTCGTGTAATGAACTAACTGAGCGATTAACGACTTGTATCTTAACGCCTTGTAGAAGACTGAACCAATTAATTAAGGATTAGCGATTATAAAATGCGAGAAAGGATGAGAGAATTTCAAATGCTTGCGAGCTTTGGATGAAAATTTATAACGACATATATTTGCTGTATTACAATAAGTAAGCTTTATTTTCTATGATCACATTTTGATTAAAATATCATGTAGAATATGTAATGTAAACAGTGAGGTATATATAGCGAAACAGGATAAAGGTTTCTTGCTTTATTTGAATTATTTAATTTCACGTTTTAATTAAATAATATGTTTGTAGTTTTTGCAAAAAAAAAAAAAAAAAAAAGAAAGGAATCGAAATCATTTCGACTTTTTTGAATTGCTTTCTTGGATTTTTTTTTTTTTTTAAGGGTTTTTTTTCTTTTATTGATTGTTCACGCCATTTAATTTCAAAATTAATGAATTCTCCTTGGTTTGTTCTTGGCGTTAATCGTTGCTTTATCCAACGAAATTCGAAGGAGCGGGCGCACCTTCTACGCATGGTGAGATTTCTCGCACGTTTAAGATGCTCAAATTTAATAGAAGTTTCAATTTACATTTGTGGCAAGCGAGGCGTTCATTTTTGAAATTATATATACAATGGAAAAGGGGGCTTTAATTTCTTAGATAGGTTCTTCGTAGAAATAGCTTGATATTTGTTACGAGTTTTAAATAAAAATTCTTTAAAGTGTACAGAATCTTTTGTCCGGTGTTCTTTCGTTTTTTTTTTTTTTTTCTTTTTTATTTCGCAGTCAAAAACCTGTACAAAGCTTCCGATCTATTTATAAAGAAACTACGAATCGTCGATATCGTTGTCGAATCTATAAATTAAAATTTGTTTAAGTCTCAAAATCAGATTCCTCTGACTCGCAGCTAGACGAAATGTCATCTTCCATGCATCCTGACTCCTCGGGAATACCTTCTCCCATAGGTATCCTAGGGAAGAGAAATAAATATATTATGATAAGGGAATAATAATATTTTAAAAGTTTTTTAATATTTGTTATTTGTTAATTAATTAATTAATTGGTTATTCGTCGTTATTAGAAAGGTGATCAGGCAAGATTTAGTTTAAATTTAGTAAAATATAAGTGTATTATATACATAATACGAAATTTTCAAAATACGAAAGAAATATTAATACGGATGATTGTTTTAAAATATTAAATATTTTTTTTTTTTTTTTTATTGAAATGAAATTGAGAGATATTGAGTTGACGAGAAACTTAAAGTTGCGAATTTTTTAGACTTATTTTCAATTTTCAACAATATTAACACAATGTTAATATATTTGAAATATATTTGAAATAAACGTAATGAATGAATTTTACATATTAATAAATGATCAATAAAAAAGTTCTATTAATCTTGAACAATCTACTTCCGATTAGATTTAGAAATCTCTTTAAAAGAAAATAAAAAATTATTTAATAATAGAATGCTTGATACCTGGATTCTTTAGATAAGAATTAAGTTATGTAAATTCTTGGCAAACATTTCGAAAGATATATTAAAAAAACACCAATAGCGTTTTCGAATGATTTTAAAATAAAATATATGAACATGTAATAATAAGAATAAATTGATTTACAAAATCAACGATAATTTCTAATCGACTCAATAAAAATTCAATAAGATCACAGCAGAATTAGTATGATTTTCAAACACAAAAAATTTCTACACAAATCTTGCCTTAAATCGTTTGTTTAATCACTCATTAAGGAATTGCAGCAAGATGAAGGGCCGCAGGCTTATCCTGAATACATTTAGCAACGGTTTTTGATTTCTGCGAAATGCATTTTAGCGGGCAACACTCCTCTTCCAACGATCTGCGCTCACAAATCCTTCATATTCATTTACATTTATCATTATACCTCGCCTTCCAATCAAATTTCCCGCAAACTTTCTTATTACCAAGATTATTCATCTCTCAACCTACTTGTCAAGACTCCAATTCTCGGTATAATCCTTCATCATTGACAGAGCCTGACAGAAATCCTGGCCGATGGCCTTCAAGTGTTTCGTGTCCAGATGCATACCCGCCAGCAATCCCTGGTCGCATCCGCAGAAACTGCTCTCCATCGTGTAACTTCTGCGCAAAATCGCAGAGAAAAGAGCATGAGTTAAATGCAATCTAATCGATCTTGAACGAAGATAAATCGGTAACAGTCGTGTATGCAATACCTCGAAACACCTAACTGCCGCCATATGGCTACCCTAGCCGTGGACTCCTTGTGCCTCTCGACCTTGAACGAGCACAGTGGCAATGCGAACGCTGGAGATATTTTTTGCATGAGATACGGCAACGTCTGAAACGTGTATTGCGGCAGATATATCTTACGAGAAGATATTTATTATCATCATATATCGTTTAAGATTTTAACGATAAAATTATAATTAGAATTCGATGCGGATGCGATTGATAAACAGATCGAGGATAAAAATATTTCTCGAAATTCTCGAAAAACCCGAAGAGTATATTCTATTTCTAGAAACTTTCTTGAACTCAGGTTTAAACTCGATGTATAATAACAACAGTCATCTTTTATTATATATAGAAAGATAAGATTTTCACAATATGATCAATCTTAAAATTTATTCAATTTTTACTAACTTGAATAAAATATTCAAAAACATTCTTATAAATCATTTATACAAATTGTTACCCGAGTTTCGAGAATTTCGTATCAAAATAGCAAAGAACTTTTAAAATTTCGAATTTTCAAGTTTCGAATTTCGATGCCCTAATAAAAAAAAAAAAAAAAAGAAGGAAAAAAAAAAGAAACGTTAATGTTCGTAATCCAATCGAAATGGGATCTTCTTCATTTTCGTGGGTAATATCTAAAATTGGAGCACACGGAATCGATGTACCGATCCTGTCCGCCGTAAATTACATCGAGTTTCGCCTCTGATACTTCCCCTCTTGGCGGAGAACCGCTCGCTCGTAAATTGACTTCGATAGATCGCGCTAGATTACCGTTCGTAGTTCTCGTTGCCGGTGCATGTAACCCGTACTACCGCGCGTCTAAAAATAATACCCTAGGCTTCTCCTCGCTCCTCTTTCGTCCCCCTTACCAAATACTGAGACGGCTGGTCCGGTTTCGCCCTGTCCGCGGCACTCCAAGAACCCGACCTTGAGCAACCGAACAGAAACACATTCTTCCTCCGTGAATGGCCGTGATAGTCGACGAAAACATAGGGAGGCCTTTGCAACACCCTCGTGCAGTACTCCATCAGACCCTTCGTGTGATAGATCACAGGATGGAGAACCTGGTTCGGATTGCTCCACCGCCTGTTCAGATCTTCGTTCGTCAATCCGTATCGATTACTGTAATCAATCGAAAATAAACGCCTTTAACGCGCTGTTTTTTTCCACACACTGGATCCGAATACCAATCGTTCTTTATTATTATTATTATTATTATTATTATTATTATTATTCTTTTTATCTAGATTTCGATACGATCAAAATCGTATCCTCTATTTATCTCTCTTTTTATCATAAATAATATGTTTATTACGGATACGAGTATTTAAATTTGAAAGTTAATAGGGTAGACGAATGTGTTATCAACACTCGTAAATTTTTATAATGCGAACGAAATCTTTGTTTTCTTTATTTTCAATCATTTTCTACAACAAAATAATGGACAAATTCACGGGATTAATATTTTCGTGAAATATTTTATATAGAGGTAAATAAACATTTAAGATTTATCTTAAAGTATATATATGTAATAATAATAATTTAATTTAATTACTTCCTGTTTCTCTTCTAATTTTTTTTTTTTTGAAAAATAAACGAATCGCCCGGTTCTAACTGGACCGGTTCGCTCCGTAATATATAAGAAACTTCTGAGAAGCACGGTTTTAGAATTTCCTGTCAGTTCGCACGTCGATGATGCACGTCGAGAAGGAGAAGGGCCTTGTCAGAGATCGTCTTCATTTAAGGATTCAGCCGCGGTTAGAAGGACGTTTCCGGCGACCGGAAGTCGGGCCGGAGGAAGTTACGCCTCCGCGTCTCGCATAGTTAATAGTGGGATAATGTGGACCCCCGGCTTACACACCGAGACCGCCATTTTGCTTCTACCTGTCGTTCTAACATTGTTTCGAGATGTACATAATGCTAGGTACTTGGAATACCAAATATATATATATATCCGTCAGACGTGTCCAAATATTTCTTCCAGCTTGCCTTGTCCGAAATTTAAATATTTGACGCTTCGTGAATTCGTGACGTAACGAGATTGAAATTCAAGGTTTCCTCGCATTTTTTCAGAGGTTTGCCAACCGTTCTCCTAACAAAATACTCGAAATACTTGCGTATAGAGGAAGCGATAAGACATCGAATAGAAATGATAAACGAAATAGAAATAATTAGCGGTTACAAGAAGTCGCTCACCGTGGGATTAACAATCGGTACACGCGTAACCCATGGACAGGAATCTTCGATCGTTCTTCCGATCCGAGACATAGGCCACGTAATACAAACATTAGCAATTTGACGCCTCGTAATCGCTTCCGGTCTTTAAGGTAGTACAGACAGACGTGACACGGGCTCGAGATAGCTACGTAACGATCGATATCTCGCGACCGGCAGATGGCGAGGAATAATAAGAATAATGGATAATGGGGGAGGGGGAAGAATGACGATGCACCTGTGTGGATGACGGTACGCGAAGAAATGTTGCTGGTCGTCGTTGCTGACATCGTTGTTGTCGTGTCGTGTCGTGTCGTCGTGTCGTCGTGTCGTCGTCGTCGTCGTCGTCGGAGCAGGAGGAGGAGAAGGAGGAGAAGGAGGAGGAGAGGGGGAGGAGGAGGAGGAAGAGGAGGAGGAGGGGGAGGACGTTCACCGGCGGACATTAGCAGAAAGCGTCGAAAAACAACAGTCATCGGAGATAATAGATTTCGTCCGGCGTGGAACGAGAAGGAACGGAAGAGGAGGTAGGAGGAGGGAAGAAGAGGCGACGTCCGACGAAAAAAAGAAAGCGGCGAGAATTACGCCCGAACGCGTATTAAAATGAAATCATCGTTGATGAACGGCGCCGACAATGTTGCTCCGCGGACGTTAAAAACACGGAACTCTAATGCTTCTCGAAACTGGCATGGTGCCGTTATTCCTGACTATTTTCGAGAAACTCGAATTAGAGTGGTTGGAGGAAAGAACGCGACCATTATCGTGAGAGATTTCTTTCTTTAATCGCGATGTTTCTTTCTCGAGGGTGAAAACGGTGGTTTGTATAAACCGTTTTGAGTTAATCCTCTCGAGAAAAGCGTGGGAAAATAATTGGTTAGTAATAATATTTTCGATTTAATCAAGTTAAACTCGTCTCTATATCGCTCGAGATATATATATAAAGCTGATATTACAATCGCAAGCAACGAAACTTCCTGCAATTACGTTTATTCCGTCGAAATGACAAATCCCCTGTGGAACGACGATGAATCTTTGAACAATTCATCGGCACTCACGAGAGAAGAAAACGAAATGGCAGGAGACGCGACGTACACGCGAGCGACAATGAAGCAATTGTACAACGAACTTCTTTGCAGTTTTATTAGCAGGCCGATGTAATGGGCAACATCAGTCTGTTCGTGCTAGCAAGCGATGTCAATGACTTGAACGGAGGAGCCTTGACCGCGAACTTCTCTCACCTTCTCAGAGATCCTGTACAAATTACACTTAACCGGCCGCTCATCTCGAACTGGCTGCGCGCCTCACATTTTCAAAGGTGCACCGCCGCACTTCGTACACCTGGCAATAGTAAAAAAATCACACACAGCGAATTGCATCGCTCGATTGGATTACGATTAACGAGCATCGATCGTAACGATTTATATCGCCATAATGCGACGATCGATCGTGAATCGCTAGGGGAATTTCGTCGTTATTTTCCTTCCACGCGCACGTCTCGCCGTCGATTCTATTCGACGTACCTTCCTAAAAATCGTGAATCGAATTCACGACATATCTGTGACAATGCTACCGAACTGCATTACCGATGCGGCACGGTGCAGCTGCGGTCTCGAAACAGATTACATCGAAAGTGGTTGTACGTGTTCCCTTTGGTTTCACTCTCGCCAGAGCGGACGGGACGATTATCGTGCCACTAAGGGAATCGAAAATGCGTGCGAATCGAGAAATTTAAACGTGATCGAAAAAAAAATCTCGCTCGACGAGTCCCTCTCTCCCATTCGAGCGCGCAAAAAGACGAGCAATTCCTAAGATGACGTCAGAAACAGGTTATTTATACTCCTATCCTATAAGTCACCAGACATTCGCTAATTTTGAGCATTAACCTAATATATTCTTTCCTCGACGTACCATGCGTTCGTCTCTACAATAACTTCAACGGATTTTCAACAAATTATCGCGCGATCCAAATGTAAAGAATTAAAATTACAAACTTTACCTATCCTATAGTAATTAATTGAAATTAACCGAGATGAGATGTATTTGTATTTAGGGAAGGGAAACGAGCAGGCGGATCTTCGATCCCGTTACGCCATAATTTTTTGCCACTTTATCACCGAACGATACCCCATGTCCCATCTCGTCGTTTATCTCGCCCTACCGGTGGATCGCGCCGTTCGAGAGGAAATATAGGCAGAAGTCACGAATACTTCGGGGAAGGAGGCAGGATCGAAGAAAAGAGGCGGAGAAGCGGACGCGAGTAAGAAAAATTGGCGGATCGTTCTTGCAATCGTAAAGAGAAATCCTTGGGCACCTTGGGAACGTTCGTTTCTTCGTGGTCGTCTTCCACGTATCACGCGTTTCTTCCGTGAACTTTACTACCATCCTTGCCCGGCCTTCTCCCTCTATCTTTGTTTCATCTCTTCTCGCCTTCTCGCGGCATTTTCTTCGAGGTTATCCCGGGGTTTCGATCGTGTAACCGCGCTTCTGAACTCCTTTCCCCCTCCCAACAAATCTATTTCCCCAGCCTCCTGCGTTGAAATATCACCGCGACCGAGCACACCGAGAGAGAGAGAGAGAGAGAGAGAGAGCTCGCGCGCGGTTTCGAATCCTATCTTCGCGCCGTATTTTCCTTTAAATCGAAGGGACGATCGAAACTTGTTCCATGCTATCGTGCATCTCGTTTCGAGCAGTTCCATTGGTAATTTTTCTCGGATGGAGGAAGAATCATGGATAAATAGGAGAGGAGATCAGATACGTGAATTTCATTGGGAGCTTGAAATGGGGTACGCTGTAAACACGCGAAATCTACATATCTGCGACGAATGTTAAATTTGTCACGATACATCCTCTTTAAAACGTGCGAATTACCACCTGGTGCACCTTGTTGTAAGCTGCCGCGCTTATCTCGAATGCCTTCACGCGGCGGGAATGGAGGGCCGCCTTTAAGGCCTCCATACGTCGTCGTTTCGCGCAACACAGAAACACGCGGCCAACTATACTAACGACCAGCAGCTCCCCGGTATCTTTATAGCGTCACTGATATCAAAGGGATGTGCGACGTTCGTTTCACCCGATCCCGGCCGGTCTGAAGGGCTCGAAACGATCGCGCATTAGAATACTCGTGACCAGTCCCCGATTTGCATTCCTTCGCGAAACCAGCGTCTCTTTTTCTTTTTCTCCGCCTCTAAATCTCCTTTCTCTCTCTCTCTCTCTCTCTCTCTTCTTCTCGTTTCCTTTTTGCCTTCTTTCTTTTTCTTTCCTTTTTCCCCTTCTTTTTTTCTTTTTCTTTTTCTTTTTTCTCTCGTTTTCCCCTTCCTCCCCTTCTTTTTTCCCTTCTTTTTGCGTGCGTCGAGGAACGGTCGAGAAAAGGGTGAAATATTCGCTGATGAATTCTCGGCTCGCTGACGTTTCTTCTACGCCCTGAACGATCGTTTCTTCGAAGCTGATGCGGCAAAAGTAGCCCTTACGCGGCGCGGCGTCGCGTAGGTCCCTTCCACGAGGAGGAACGAAACGAAAGAATGTCCATGGAGCTTTTTACTATAATGTAATTCGTCTCGGTGAACCTCGGTCCGCGGGTCTCGTAAAATTCGCGTTTCACAGCGTGTCGTTTGCGCCATGCGTAAATAGAAACCGCTGGAACGACGGATTATTGTTGGATTAATAAAAGACCGACTGGTATGTAAGTACATCAATTCTGATAGATTATTGTCTTCTTACAACATACGTGGCGTTTAACTCGTATTCCAGTCCTATTACTGTTATCTCGGATATCCCTTTCCTCCTCCACCCAGGATATCTTCGAACTTTACTACTCCATTTTTATATATATAACGATATTTTCTCTTTTTTTAAATTTTGTTTTTTTTTTATTCATCATTTATTATTAATTCCCATTACGATTCGATGAATTGTAATTTTTTTTCAGTGGTAAATTAAATTTTTATTCGAAAGATAATTAATTTGCATACCTTAAAAAACTTTGTGTAACTTAAAAAACTTTTAAATTCTTCGCTTTTATCGTCTGAAAAGAGATAAAGATAAAGTTCGATCACCGATTCGAGATTTTTGCCAACTTCTTTCTTCACGATTTTATCGATTTTATCCTCGATCTCGATCAACAAGACAAGCAACGAGAACGTGATTAACGGTATTCGTCGAGAACGTTTCAACGTTCAAGGACGAGGAACCAGGAAATTGTCGGATATTCGTCCGTGAAGGAGCGAACAGCGATTTCATGCCTACGTCATCCCTGCCCTGTCATTGGAAACCGACTTATCCGATACGTAACTCCCCCGCCGATGCTTCGCCGATACGATGCAAAATATTCATCGTCCAATCTCGTTCCCGGCTAGTCCAATAAATTTAAAGATTTAATTTCGCGATTTCGGTCGGAGAGAGAGAAAGAGAGAGAGAGAGAGAGAGTGAGTGTCTCTGCGCGGGCTGGGAATAGATTTCTCGCCTATCCCGCATCTGAGATTTAATTTAGAGGCTTGGCCGGCTGGTCTACAGGCATAGTTCCCTGGAATCCTTCCTGGTAACCACACGCAATACCGAGAACCTATACGAACCGTCCAAACGGAATTAAGCCTCGAAATGGGATAAGAAGGAGAAACCGAAAGGGATAACAGGATCCCAACGAGGCGAATTTTTTTTGACGCGTGACACGAAGATGGACCAAATTGATAGCGATTAATATTTGGGAGGAGGCGAAATCGAGTCCTTCTTTTTCTTTTTTTTCTTTTTTTTTTCTTTAGAATCGTCGCGTTTATTATTAGAATAATAATGTCGAAAGAGCGCGTGGATCATTGTCGATCGAAACGAACTTTTTCCCTCGGACGACTACGAACAACGTTCTCTGTTAATAACGTAAATCAACGCGTCGTAGTCCACGAATATTAATGAATTTCCACGTAACGAAGAAGGTATGTAAACTCAGTTAAACTCGTGCCGCTGAATCTACGATTAACTTTTGAATAATAATTTCCAACGTTGGTTAATTGTGAACTGAAAGCGTTTACAAGATATACTCGTTCGATGATATTTCAAGCTTATCTATATATACATCTTATAAAAAGAAAAATTCTGACATTCCGCGTACAATATAACGATATTTCGTAAAACACCATTGCAGAGAGAACCATTGTTGAGAATTGTAGAGAAGAGCAATCGTAATATATATATATATTATAAAAGAGAAAAGAACTTTTGAGAAAATAAATTAACGAGTTCGAGAAATAAGGCATTACTCTTCCGCCAACCCGATAAATTCGGTAATCCGGTAAAACTGTCGAAACGGTCGTAAATCTGGCCGCAAAGCAGCACGGTCAATTATATTAAATACAACGGGCACGCTTGTTTCGAGAGTGTGTAACCGCAAGCAGAAGCAGAGGTTCACGGTTTCAGGTTCTAGGTCAGGCTACGTCGTGGCCGGGGCACGTAACAGCGGCAAGAACAGGGGGCCCAAGTAAAACGGTGGGAGCGCAAGAGGCGCATTTAATGGTCGTACGCCGCCACGGCTGTTATTATCATCCATTTCTGCATTCTATCGGCGATCACATGCACCGCGAGTCGAGTCCATGATTCGTTCGTTCGCTCTCATCTCTGGTCGGGAATCCAACCAAGAGAACCAGAGGGGACAGCGAGAGAAGGGGAGAATGGAAGGAAAGAATGGAAAGAGCTGTGCACGGTCCTCTCGATCACCATATCAGATGATTTAGGGAACGCGTTAGGATTACGTGTCTCAAGCGACACGAGTTTCGCCGTTTCCTACGGCGATCCATGCAATCGTGTGATCGCGTTACATCCCAAGGATACGCCATCACGTCTAAATATATATATACACGCGAGACATCGTGCGTATAATAAGGCGTGGGTACGTAATCGATGAGCCGCGCATACATCGAAGATATGTTCGATAACCGAGGGCTGAATCGAGTTCTCAACCCTTTTTCCATCGTTTCCAATGGATAGTAAACGGAATTCGTTGATCGTCGCTTCGTGGAATTGACAAAAGGTGAAGGAACGTCGCGTTGGTCATTTCATTGTACAGGAAAAATTCGTTCGAGCGAGTTACGATGCTGTATAGATTCGTAGAAGGTGTATATATGAAGATTTTTCATTTCAGGTTTCGACGCGTGACGATTCGATAAGGAACGTAAGGTAACGTACGGTACGTGAGGTAAGTGAGGATCACTGTTGACCAAATGATCTCAGACTCGGAGAAGACTGCCCGGATGCTAACTGAATTATAGCTCTGAACGGTGAATCGGAAAAAAGTGTGCAAGGCCGTTCGACCCTTTCGTAGTACAAAGTCGCTTGACCACTTTGCGCGGATTTAATTGGATTCTTTAGAAAACGGGCGGAATCGTGGATATAAATCCTATAAATAATCGGGGATTCATATTCCCTGCATGGTGTAACCGCGCATGGTGCTCGTAAATCGTGCGGAAAGATGGGATAAATGAACGGGAACAAAGTTTCTTGTCAAGAAATTGCATCACTCGGGGGCATGGAGTTGATATTGGAGAGAATATTGCCGAAGAAACGAAGATTTTTCGACGACATTTAACGCAGATGTTGTAACGTGGTATAGACGGCGGACAGATATATGACGTGGGTAGAGGCAGAAAGTGATGAGGATCACTGTCCTAGAAATGGAATATCGAAATGGAAGAATCGACGGCGTAGAAGGGTCGGGGGTGGGGGCAATATGGCTCCTTCGATCGTCTCGAACGTGGAGGCTATTCGCGGGCTAAAACGGAGAGTTGGTTCCATGCCCGTGGAACGAATGAACGAAAGAGAAAGAGAACCTCGGGTGAAAAGGGACGAGGGTTAAGCGGCGAAGAAGAGAGGAGCGCTCCTTAGGGAGTGGAGAGAGAGATAGAAAGAAGAGGGGCCTTACATAGCGATTGCTGGCAGGGCCTGAAATAGACCTCGAGAATCCCCCTGTAGCATCCTCGCCTCTCTTTCTTCGCCTCCTCCACCACCATCCTCCTCCTCCTCCTCCTCTTTCCACTCCTTCTCTTCTACTTCTACTTCTTCTTCTTCTTCTTCTTCTTCTTCTTCTTCTTCTTCTTCGTCTTCTTCTTCTTCTTCTTCTTCTGCTTCTTCGTCCAACAGCAAGCATTGCCTCCAGCTCTCGAGAGCCTTCCTTCTCTTTGCTTTTGTTTTTCGCAAAAAAGGACCAAGTGGCTCGGCTCGGCTGTGAGAAGTTGTTCCTAGCGTCTCGTTCACGCAGATAGGGCCAACGTGAAGGTGGGACGGAGAAGAAGGAAGAAGACGAAGAAGGTGGTGGAGGATCGGTTGTTTATCCAGGATCGAGCTTCTGCTTTCGTTTCACCCACCGATATATGGCCACGAACGGAGAGACCCCCGTAGGCATTGCCGGACCTAAGTGCACTCTCTCGGCTTGCATTCCCATGGGAATACGCCGTTCAGAGAATCCGACCTGTTAAACTGACCTGCGCCAATGTACCAGCAAAACGTGACCCACGCAACCAAGCTACGAGCACGCCTCGAACATACTAGATTCGAATGCATCGCCTGTTTTTTATCCCGAGGGCAGCCACCCACCCTCCTTTTCTTTCTCTCTTTTTCCAAATCCCGCGAAATCGATAAGCCTGTCTCGTTTGTTAACGAACCTCCTTGTCGTAGTAAATTCGAAACTCGCGCGCTTCGAAGAGATAGAAAATTGTCTCGCGAGAGATTCGATACGACGATATGTACGAACGGATTATACACATTTGATAAATTCGTTAAACGGGAGAATTCTTCGCTCAAACTTTGTTATTTACATTCTATCGTAGAGGAAAAATTGGACAAATGTAAGAAAAAAACTTATCGGCAAAGTTGTTTGTGAACTTGGGGAACTTACGAGACTCTTTACGTAACGAAAGGTTTAAAAGTAACGAGGTACTCGTAAAGTAATTTAAAGGGCAAAGGTGGCAAAGGGACGAGAGTAATTAGAGAGAAGCTCACGCTAAAGATGGATATTTTTAGTAGGTTGTGTAAATTTAACTGCGTTCTCGCGTAATTACTCATATTTCTATATACGATCGAGAGCCGGCATTGGCCTCCCTCGTGATAAAGCACGCCACGATATTCTTCTTCTACCTGACGCAACCGTATCGCGGGCAACCTTTAAATAGATCGTGGTATACGGCTCGTTATAAACGTAGTGAATTCGTTTAGCGTGGCAGATCGTGGCGCTTTCGTGCGAGGCAAGGAGACGAGAAGAGGAACGGCGATCGAAAGGGACGCGGTAGGTCTCGGATGTCACGCGAGTCCCTTTTTGTTGGACTGGTCGCACACCGCGTAACAGAAATAACACGTCGCCATATAATGAACACCGATCCGCCAATGGTTACAGGATATCGAATCGATCGGACACGGCCCGGACAAAGAACAGCTAGTGGAAAAGAAAAGAGGAGAGAAGGAAGAAGAGGAAGAAGAAGATGAAGAAGAAGAAGAAGAAGAAGAAGAAGAAGATTCCTTTACTGACATTTCGCGTTGGATTCTTCTTCTTCTTCTTCTGGTACCGGTTGCGTATCGTAATCGAAGTAACTGGGCCTCGGACGGGCACGGACAATAACCACGTATTCCGCAGAAGCAGGTGATCTCTCGCGCGAGAGTAGAGGACAGGACGTTCAGAAATCAAGCCTACCTTGAGAGACGAATCTTTTTGCCTTGCACCGCGCCGCTGACAAGACACGATCCTATATATATATATATATATACGAGAAATCTCTTCCAGAGATATCGCCTCCCGTTTTAAAGAGTTAATATCTGTTCGATGCATTAAGACGAGGCTGCCGAGAGATTCTCATAAGGATCTCGAACGTTTCGTTCCTATCTACCTCGGTCGGGTCGTGGTATATATCTCGTAATAGGCTCTCCATGACGCGTCGATCGAGGTAATTAAGGTGGCGTACGTTCCGCGAAACATGTGGACGCTTTTAAAATGATATCCACCTCTATTTCTCGTGACCGTAGGTGCGCATTAAACTGGTTAAAAATAGAACCGAAGCGTATTTGAAAGCGTATTGTGAAGCGATTACGAGTTTTTTCATTATACGATACGAGGAGATACCACCATCCTCCCCTCCTCCCCTTACTCCCCTCCCTTAATGGGGGCCGGTCAATGTCGGTGCAGAAAAAACTAAGCGCGGAAAGAGCGAGGAATAAGAATAGACGGCGCCAAAGGCTTAACAAGGAAACCGGTTCAAAACCTCCTGCGCCTGTGTACCGACTTTCATGAGAGATTCCAACGAGTCACTTCGACCACCGTGTGCAATATATTGGACGTGAGTATGATTCCCGTAATACCTTCAACTACGATCGCAACCGTGCGTTCCCTTCGTCGAGCAATTAGCTATTTCTACGTCACGTCAAGAGGTATTCGCCAAGTTGGAAACGAACGTTGAATCTTGACCTCTTCCCCGGAGAAGGAGGAGGAGGAGGAGAAGGAGGGGGAGGAAGAGGAGAGTCGAGAGAGAGAGAGAGAGAGAGAGAGAGAGAGAGAGAGAGAGAAATTCGACGAAGAAGGAGCATGTATGTATTTCGAAGTAGGAAACGTTCGCGGCCGATTTGAACGGCGTCTCTCAAAGCCGCAATTTACGTCCATCGGCGACAAGCGGCAGATACGATAATATCGTTAATGCATCCGATCGTCGGAATAGAAAATGGTGATTTTAAGGGATGGTATGCGGCGCGTTCTCGCCAGCCACGCTCAGAAATGAAGTCTACCTTGAGGTCGGTGTCTTTTTTGCGCCTACCCGTCGATACAATTCCATTCAGGACGATGAAGACCGTGAAAAGACACCAAAGAGAAATTCCATCCATTGCGACCGTCAGCGTAAAACAAACTAAACGATGGAACAACGTTATTAATAGCGTGTACCGCCACTCGCAAATAGATCGGGGCGCCGAGTTCAGCAACGAGTTCCATCCCGACCGCTGTCTGCTTTCACGCTTCATTTTCCGTTTCCAATAGTTCTCAAATCCAATCCCATAATTCTTGTCCCAATCTTAATCCAATCTTATTCCAATCTTATTCCAATCTTCTGCTTCGTTGTATATACGAATACACTTTGGCGCGAAAAAAAAAAAGAAAAAGAAAAAGAAAAAGAAAAAGAAAAATTTTTATTATTCGCGTTTGCTCGATTCTCGTTAAAACGAAGCATCCGGTTCGCCAAGAATCTCTGCTCGATAAGGAAAAAGGAAGATGGGGAGAGATAGAGAGAGAGAGAGAGAGCGCACGTTGGTACGCTCGCAAGTGTATGGTGAAAAGTTGGCCGAGAGAGTAAAGTTCGCGAGGGGAAGGAAGGAAGGAGAGTACGGGCGCGAGAAGCCGTGTCAACGAACGCACCGCATCATCCTCTCTAACCCTCCGGCAGCGCGAGGGTCTATTGTGGCTAGTTTTTTCTCTGACCTTGTCACCTTGCAGGTTTTTTGCCGCGGCCAAGTCGATTACATTTCGGATCGGTTCCTCCGTATCCCCCGTCCACGTCTCGCGCTATCCCGCTCTCTCGTGCCCGCCCGTCCCTTCGTGGGCTCCGCTCGTCCTGCTCTAGGTTAGTCAGTGAATCATCTTCAACGACCCCCTCCTCTGGGATCCGGGCAGAAGACTCTTAAGGGGGCCCACAGCGCAGCGCGAGGCCAGTCCGAGAACGCGACCCTAACACTAACATCCGGTGTATTCCGAGAGTCGGAAACGGAAACGGCTGCTTGATCGATTAATCGACACGACACGCCACCATGAAGATCGCTCTGCTGCTGCTGCTCGTCGCGGCCTTCGCCTCAGGTTCGTAACTTTATCGATTATCAATTATCCTTTCGTTTCTCCGATATTATTTCTCTCTCAAAAATTCCCATTTTTTCCAAACATCGGTAATCTGCACTTGTTGCAATTTAGTTTAGTTAGGGTGTATTAGTTAGTAGGCATCGAGTCCGTCATTCTAGCTGTCTTATTAAATTATGCTTTTTCTTTTTTTTTTTTTTTTTGGATTTAGAATTAGACTATTCTCGCATCTTCTCTCGATAATTGATTCGACAAGGATAGATTGGTTGGAACAGTGCCAAGCGAGAATTCTTTTTTTTTTTCGAGGCTCGAGAATTCGCGTTGATTCGTTTTTCAACGAGTCTTCTTTGTTCGTCGACGCTTCTCGTCCTCGCATTCTCGTTTCCTTGGTGGAAACGTCGACGTACGACGTCCGGTGCATTCAAAAGGGAACTCGCGGTCGCTGATCACGCACGCATGACTTCAAGATCATTCGCCCGTCGTTCTCGATCATTTTTTCTTCGATTATCTACGTTCACTTGTACATTTTCTCGCGTTTAAAATCGGATATAATAAAAATCCATATTTTAATGAAAAATAGAATCGTTCGATTATCGTTCGATTATCACGTTTTCGAATATTTTGTAGATGTTTCGGTACGTCGAAATTTTTATTCGAGAAATTTTTATACGTCCAATACGAACCGCCATCGAGCTGCTCGCCAACATTGCCACGTTAATTACGATGCAAGTGGCGTAATTCGTGAATGGAATCGCGTCTCGTAGCAAGCGTCTTCTTTCTACAGAACGTTGGCGGCAGACGTCTCAAGGTCTTCAGGTCGTTTACCACCACCTGCGCCGCCGGCTTCGCAAACCGGAGCATTTTTACGCACCCTTTGAATCTCTCGTGCGTCAAACCACTTCAAATTATCTGTCTATGCTTTTCATTCCACGTTCTTCTTCCATTCGAAAATTTATTTATTTATCTATCTATTTGTTTATTTATTTTTTTGCTTCATCTTATTTAAAATCATACAAAAAAATTCTCAAATATTTAGAGAATCGATTTATCAAACGATCAACGGATCGAAATGTAAATCTGATTTCAATGCCATTTTTTTTCCAAGAGGCACGAAACGAAATTTCTAGATTTTTAATAAATAAAACGATGACTCGTGTCGAGACTGTTCGGAAGCCTAAACCGGTCACAACTTAAAAGTACAGTTAACCAAATAATCGTAAAAAGTCAATGAACTCGCACGGTGAGTATCGTGCGAAACGGCACTTCCAACAAAATACGGAGTCACTCTGTGAAGTTAATTAAAACGAACGGTACCGATGATGTGTAAATACTTTACACGTTCATAGATGAATTAAAATCGCGTTGAAATGATTTACTACGACTGTCAATTAAGCCGAGCACAATCGAGCGTTACACAATATAACACTCCGATCTTGTTTACGATTCTTTTATTATCGCGATTATTAGCGCGATTATTATCGCGCCTCGTGAAATTTAATTAAGAAGGAAAGAAAGGAAGCGCTGGAATACAATGGAGATTGGTAGATCCGACGGGTTTCGTTTAAAAATCATCGAAAAGCCATAGAATTCCAATGTGAACGTACGTTCGACAAGTCGGATGCATTTTTCTTCCGTTTTCGTTCGCGTCTACGCGGATTAACGAATAGTTAAAAATATTCATAGGCAGACATAACGGTCTGGCCGCTAAACTGGGACATCGGGTAGATTAGAATTCACGGGATGATTTTTCCCGCGTCCTGAGGCTGCCATTTGTGGTCTGGTCGGAAGTCAATGGCGGAGACGTGCCTCGATGAGATAATACGAGAGCAAGAAAAGGGAATTTCCTTTTTTATTCATCAATTCACGTTGATATATAACTTTTTAGCATTTAAATTGATAGGAAATATGTTGATTAAAAAAGAAAAAAAAAATGGATGGAATATATGAATACTTAATTTCGAATTTATTCAAATAAATTCATTCCAATTCATCTATTTTATCTTATTGCATAAAAATGGAGATCGTTTAGAGATGGATCGATTAAACCTTTTGTTATTTTTATTATTTGAAATTCTTTGAAACCTGATAAAAATAATTTGTATAATATATATTCCCCTAAGGCAATATCTTTACTTATTGCTTCATTAAAACTTTACTTTTTGAAAGAATATTTGCATTCTATTTACTATTTAAAAAAATTCGAGATCTCGACTCGATTTTTCTGAATCTTAAAAATTCAATTTCAATCCAATGTTTAAAAAAGAAAAAAAAATTAGAAACATCAGAAATTTTTGGACATCAATCTGTATTCGTCTGACGAGTAATCGTAAATTAAATAAAATTGATTTACAGGCCAAAGGATCACGACGATTCAATTGGATGGCGTGCAATACTTCGTTTCAAGGATGAATCCCTACAGTCCCGAATTGAACTATTTCCTGGCATACCAATATTGTCGTTCACTGGGTCTTCAGTTGGCCTCTTTCGAGACAAAGGAAAAAGCCGACACGATGACGCAGTACTTGAAAAACGCCGGCTACGTTAAATACGACTTCTGGACGTCCGGCAACAAGTTGGGCACGGACATGTTCCTGTGGATGAGCACAGGTCTTCCCTTCAATGCCACCTTCGACTACATGTTGAGGCGACCTGGCAACAGACCTGCTGACGTCCCACCCGGCACTGAGCCTCAACGAGTGGCGCGTGAAAGGTAATAATTAATATGCTCTTATTAATTCCTTCATAATAAAATTGTATCGTATAATTGTAAACCATATTCCATCATATTAGGTCGTCTCCTTTTCACTTTTTTTTTTTTATTATTATATACTTTTATGACTTTTTTCTTTCGTTAGAAACGTTAATTAAATATTTACAAATTTTCAATTTTATTATTTCGTCGCGTTCCAAAATATCTTTGACTTATTTTCAAAATTAATTCAAACAATCGATTATCTTTCTACTCTCGATATAACCACGCGTGCGCGCGATTGAAAAAGAATTTTCTCCCGTGTCCTTTCCTTTCCTTCGTTAAAAAGAAAAAAAAGAAAAAAAAATATCTCATCAAAACCGGAAACCACAGAAAGAAAAGACACAAAGAGAGCGGGAAAGGAACGAAACGTCACGTATTTGTCTATCTGGAAGTCTATCTAGACAGGTAGAAAAGCATAGCGAACCTTCTTCGCCGATGAGGAAGACGACGAGGCCCAAGATCAATTCGTGGTCACGAATACGATAATTGTCGGTATCCCTTCCGCATCCGTATGCTCGTACTCCCTACCCGGAAACGCGTGCATCGAATCGATAAACGAGCGGAGAACGATTGAAATTCTAATCCCGGAATTTGTCCTTTCCACAAGCGGTGACAGCGGGAGCGCGGACGGATGCGTCGCCATGGTGGCACCCACGTTAGCCTGGGAGGCGCAAGATTGTACCCTGGTTAAGGACTTTATCTGCGAGCAAACAAGATGCTACTACTACAACTACGGAAGCATTCCAGTCTCTGCGACTCAGGGGTAAGAGGTGAGATAATACTTGTTACAAAAAAATACGCGAAACCGCCGAGAAAAAGGGGGAAAGAAATAGAGAAAGAGAGAGAGAAAAAGAGAGAGAGGGGGGAAAACGAGATAGGTAGATAGGCTATTGTCAGAAGACATTTCGTTTCATCGTCAAGGTGTAGCAAGGTGAATCTCAAGATGGCGCACGGACAAAAAAATAAAGAATGATAGATAAGATAGAAAAGACACGATGATCGGTGATAATTCATCCGCGATTCTTAATACTAGCTATATCTCGAGTGCGAATCATATGATATTTTTATCGATCGTGTAAATTTATCGATTCGACGATTAATTAAATGGATCGTCGAAAGAAAGGCATCGATTGGATTAACGCGTTGGCAAGTTTTTTTCTCCGTGCAGTATACACGATTTAACGAAAAAAAACTGATATAAATAACGCTTCGCTGAATTAATTTAATCCGTACAAGCGAGTGTAAGATAAATTGGTAATTGGGGAAATCTCTTGGTGTCGTTCGAACGTAACTGCTTATCGCTCGTTTCGCGAAGCACACGAGAACACGGCTTACAATTATTATTAACGCATTCTCTCGCTCCTCGCAAATATCAGACACGCAAACTACACACGCGCGTACATGAAAAATCTACTACGATTCCAATTTTCTTCTTCAAAATCGATCATCACTTATCACGTACCTCTCTGAGCTGAGCCTAGTGGTGCCACGCTTTTTCTCTGCTTTTAATACAGCCGACTAACTAATCGCTGACTAATCCACGCTATAGGAAACACGACTAACGAGTTTCTCCAATCTGAATAACGAATCTCTTTAATCCTATTCGCTTCGTCCCCGGACGAGGCGAGGCGACGACGAACCCCCCCTGAAACCAGTGCGCGATTTGCAGAAATCGCAGACCCTATATAACAACGACCTCTGCGCCAGCCAGCGACGACCAGGTCGACGAGCACGAGGAAGGCAACGCCGGCAAGAACGACGAGCAAAATCAGAGTAACGTCGACGAGAAATCAACACCGGAGGAGGAGGAGGAGGAGGAGGAGCAGAGCAGCTCCTTCGAGGAGAAATCGCCTGAAGATCCGGTCGTCAGCAGGCTTATTACCACGGCCGTTCCCGCGTCTGACAAGCAACAAGCCGCATTGGCACCGTCCACGCCCTCGCCCGCCGTCACCGAGGATCACGAGCGACCGACCGACGCCGATCTCGACAACGCGAGGCCCGAGCATCTTCTCGACATCACGAGCCTCTTCACCGACACCCCAGGCCCCCAGGCCAGAAAGGACAACGTGTTCGAGGGGCTCCAAACCCGCGAGGTTCATCGCTCCTCTCTACGCTCGGCCTCCAACATGAAGGCCGAGCATCGAGAGTCGCCGGACTACTTCGAGGTGCGCGGCGAGACCGAGGCGCCCAACAACGGTTTGGAAGACGCTCACACGGTCGGCCCTTACGACAGCGTCCAAGATTACTACGCGAACGACCAACCCGAGGCGGGCGAATCATCGATGATGAAAGATCAGGACGACGACAGCAGCACGATCCTGCCAGAAGCGGAACCGGCCTACAGGTACAACATCAAAGTGCGCACCAACGGCAAAGTATTAGACCCTCCGTCCAAGTAACGCTTTACAATTTAGGCAATTCGTCACGATTATTCGTCGATAAGTGATGAATGTAAGGGAGATTCTTGAAGGAACTAGATATATCAATGTACGTTATTTTATGTGTATATCGCAACGGACAAACGAGAGAATCGCGCGACCCCATCGCGATGATTGGTGGGGCTCCGTTCGTCGCCATTCATCGCTCATCCATTTCGTTCTGATTTCGAAACGAATTCCCGGTAGTGCTCGTCGGGATGATTTCTTTCACGCCACACATATTCATCACACGTGTCGTCGGGGCTTCCGCTCGACGGAAGGAAAAACGTTTTTGCAATTTTCGTTTTCGGGGATAAGTTGCTGCTCTCCGTATCCGTGGATCTCTGTTCGAAACAACCGTGCAATCGCGTACGAATATGATTAACAACGATCGGAACGATTGCTAACTTTTCTAAAACGAATTTCGAATAAAACGTCGATTCCTTTCCTTCTGGCCTCGATCCCCGGCGATAACCAACCGACGTCGTTCTCGCAAGGGCATTCACTCCACTCCGATTCAATTCGATCTTTTAATCGTGGCACGAGAGTGGCACCGGCGGACACGTGACGGCTCCATTCTCCTCCTATCTCTTTACCCGTCTTTTCTTTATTATCGTATCGCTTAATATCGACCCGCCGTCGTAGATGATGGAAGATGATAGTAACGTAAGGAGGGATCATCCGCGTGGGATCTCAGGCATTAGGCTAGCAACGGAGGTATCATCGTTGCTCTTTAAGGATAATGGTCTTTATGTAGGGTTGGGAGGTTGGTCCGCCAGTGCCACGAATAATAATTTCATTCGTATCGGTGAATAATCATCTTAGTTCTAATATCATATTCGTACGTCTGCAAGATGAAACGTTTCGCGTCCGATTCGTATTCGAAATCGGTACACGGCTCCTCTTCGTAGTTGAACGTCGATGGGATTGAAACGGAACGAGGATTCGGGAAGATTCTCGAAGAATGTCATCGGACGAGGATGAAAAGGAGAAGAATAAAGGAATCGAGGAGATTATGAGTCGCGTAAACGTTTCGGTCATCCAGACGTATGAGAATCGGCAACATCGCGAAATGATTTTCTAACTATTAGGATAGGTATCATCGACGCATGGATCTTGAATATCATTGCGTAAATACGGCGCGAATGTTCAACTTGTGTAATTGAATATCAATAAAGGTACGAAACACATTCTTACGATAGTCGAGTTTTTTTCATTTTCTCATCCCCTTTAACGCGTGCCTAATTTTAGATATAATACTACCACACTTACCAACCGTTCACCACACCCTCGATGTTCAACATCGGCACGATTTTGAATATGTAATCGTCTCGTAAGCTCGTCACGTAAGGATTGTTACCCAGCAACGCCTCCAAGGTACCGTTCATCACCCACGATGCGTTGCTCTCGCCCGGATGAACCCTCGATGTCAGAAATATCACCTTGCGATTCTGGAAAGAAAAATCGAGAGAATTTCGCTTTTCAAGCTCGAGAGTTATTCGAGAGAGAGAGAGAGAGAGGGAAAAGAAAAAAAAAAGGAAAAGAAAAAAGAACCTTCTTAAAATAATTTTTCAAAAACATCCCCTCATCTTCCTTACCCTCGCCTCGAGGATCCTCACCTGTATGGGATTGCTCTTGGAATCCAGAGACGTGATAGTGAGCAGAGGATTGTCATTGCCGTTCAACGTCTCGCAAAGGGTCTCCGCTCTGAAATACGTATTGGGCGGCACCCTCTTGCTCCACTTCCAGATATTGGTCATCAACAGGCTGTACGTGTAAGGGAAATGGTAGGCCAGGTAACAGACGTCGTACGCGTGAGGGAAAGTGACGGTGAACGAGGTAGTGAGATAATTCTTCCCCTTGGCCGGCCGTTGATAACAATTTCGATAATAGCAGATGTCCGCCCCGGTTCTCACCCAACCTGGCCTGCCCAGCTGTGCCTCCGCAACGCTGAACAGGATCGGCTTCATCCCGAAATTGAACTGCGAATTCGCTTTCTCGCAGTTGATAATGTTAAACGTATACGCCAACGCCTCCATGTTCGACACCTCGAAATAGAACCATTGGTGCCTGGAACCGCTGTTCACGTCCGGCGTCAAGATCAGATCGTACTCTCTCACGCCTATCTGTAAGGAAGCGAGTTGGAAAGAAATGATGCAGATTTGCCGCGGAAACGGGGGCCGAAACGGGAAGCGCGCATCCATTGTTTGGTAATTCAACGACGCTTTTTTTTTCTTTTTTTTTACAAACAACGCTTGAAACATTCATAGAGTTTTGTACCTGAATAACTTTTCTCAGGTTCCCGCTCTCGAATCTGGACTCGAAGTGCAAGTGTTTGTTGTCGAAGGAACGCTTTCCTATCCTGTTCTCATCCCAGTTGCACAAATGATGGTCGATCAGTTTCTGCTCTTCCGTGGACGACGCGTTATTATGGCTGGACGAAGTTATGGCGTCGAGATCGTACACCACTTCCGGCGTCAACAGGCTACCGTGGAGGCCACGCTCCACGCAGGTGAGAAGTTTGGAACGGCAGACCCTTCTGTCCTTGCTGTTCAAGGGCTCGTCCTTTCCGAGGCCGTCGCCACCGATCAGATCCGGGTAAGCAACCTTCACGAAACCGATAACGCTTTTCACCCTGCTCGCTATCACGCAATAAGCCTGTTGATCCGTCAAAGTCGAAATATCTTTGAATATTTTGATCGTCGTCTCGCTGTTCGCCATTTGGCTCGTCTTCGATATCCCCTCTTTCAACAAATCCCTTAGCTTTGTTCTGCTACACCCCCTCGAATCGATCGCGTCCATGATCTCCATCGATAAACTTCCGCCGCATATTTGATAATGTCCAAGGTTGTCCAATTCTTTGAAAAAAACGTTGTATCTAGAGACGAATCGAGGGACATTCGTTAATCAATTTGATTTAATTAGGGGAAAGTTTAAAGAGAAAAAAAAGAAAAAAAAAAAATTCGAAACGAGGTCTCGAAAAATAACGTCGACGTACTCGGCCAACTCCTCCTCCGATCTTTGAGACGTGAATACACCGGCAAAGAACTTGCTCTCGTCCACTTCGTCGGTCGCGTTCATGGTTTTCGCATTCGTCCTTGAATGCTGGCTTTCTTCTTCGTCGCCCGAATCAAGGTCGCTGTACATTCGTCCAAGAGAGGCGACACTGCAGGGCTGCGATACAAATATATATATAATTTTGCTCCTCGTGAAAATTACGCGCGTTTCTTCAACGCTCCATGTTCGACGTATTTAAACGATCGGAGAAAGTTTTTGAAAAAAAAAAAAATATTTTACCATCTCGAGTTACGTTACATCATTCTGGCCGGGAAAAGATACACACCTGACTGTCGATGTCGCTACCACTCTCAACGCTGTTGGGCCTGTTCGTTTCGTTCGGCAGCACGAATCTGTAACAGAGTTCGAGTCAAATTCGCACGCTCCTTCTCTCTGTTACGTTACAGTTTTATTAATTTTTTTCACGCGTCATCGAGTATCTTATTCAAGAATCGCGAAGAATCGGACTCTTTGTGCGAGAAGAACAAGTTTTTGGATCGAAGCTGTTTTTTGTTTTTTCTTTTTTTTTTTTTTTTTTTTTCCCCTTAATAATTCGAGATAATTTGAAGCCAGATCGATGATAAAACTACCAAGTGCGATAAAACGAATCGAGCTTCGATCCGGCGTTGACGAATTTCGAACGACCTTGAATGTTTCGTTCACCTTGCCGGAGACATTTCGGGCACCGGCAGCTCCTTCTTCTCCAGACATTGATTGATTATCCCGCAAATACGCGACAGCAACGAATCGTATGACTTATCCTCCGGGCAATTGTTGCAGAACCGGTACAGTAGTTGCAAACCATTGTTCAACTTGATAGCCTTCCTGCCGGCCTCTGAAAAGGACAAAAAGATGGCTCAGCGTCGTAATGGCGACGTAAAACCATCACCGATGGCGTGGACATAAATTTACATACGCGATGTTTGTTCTATAAGGTTAGAGAAGAAGAAGGAAACTTGTCCTAACTATTAACTACGATCGATCGTTTGAAAAAAAGAAAATAAATAAATAATTAATCGAATTCGGAGAAAAAACTAATTATTTTCCTTTCTTCTTGAGCAGGAATAAATTAATAGAAGAGAATGGAAGATGAATTTAAAATCATTGGCCGTTCTACCACCCTACACTATCAACTTCCGGCCGGGTGTTATCGTTATTATAGCAACGCTTAAAGGTCGGCACGAATAAACTCACTTATGACGCATAAGTGCTGTAACGTGATCAAAGTGGAATTGCAAATCTTCAGTCTCATCGGCCCGTCGAATCGATCCCATCTCTCGAAGATCCTCATCAACAGATGTACCAGACCAACCTTCACGAATTTCATGCAACAAACTTCTACGAGCAAAAATTCGTACGTTCGTTGTCTAAGTTGTTATATATGTATTTTAATCGTTAAAGTTCGATTCGTTAGACGGGCAATTGTTAAAGAAACGAAAATAAAGGTTTACGTACTGCTCGCTGTGAAATATTTCAAACACTCTAACAACGATTTGAGTTTCAGGTGAGGCATGTAACCGATACCGACGAATGTTTTCTCCAACGTGGATGCTATACCGTCCTTCATCAATACCTGAAGCGAGAATGCTGAAAACGCCAAAAAAAAAAAAAAAAAAAAGAAAGAAAAGGAAAGAGAAAAAAAGAAGATTAAAATTAGGCTACGACACGAAAATACATACCGAGAAATCTGTCTACGAGACTTATTTACTCACAATTTCTGGCGAGACATTTGATGATCAACAACAAAGGCAACAACGTTTTGCTATTATTGTAATGTTGCTTCAAGAGCGTGTGGAACACTTTAATGGTATTAAGTATCTTTATTTTTAACACGAACTTCTGGTCCCTTTGGGCTATCTGCAAATTTTATCGATCAAATTCGAACAGTTGAACGAGATTGTTAAAAGTTATGTCGGTTTTTGTCTCCGTTGAGGATAAATAATAATTTCAGTTGCTTCATACCTCGTCATCGTGTAATAATAATAACAATAACAATAACAATAATAATAATAAACGATAAATTTGTGCCAGAATTCTACGTTCACAAAATATTTTAACAATGTTCCCATAAATATTTTCGTCTAACAATAAACTTTAGAACTTGAAGAACGTAGATTAAGCAATTCTAGCTCGTTAGACGTGAGACGAAACAATTCACAATATTTTCAGTAGCTCGTATTGCATATGCATATGAATTTTAAAAAATATATATAAAAAAAATTTAAATGCGATTATTTTGAGACATTATTTCTTCGTATCATCAAATAATGGATGATAAAATTATTAATAATATAAGAATGAATTGCAAGTATCTCGAATTTATTCAAGAATTAAAAACTGGATGTATGAGTAAATTATGAGAAATCTATTTTCGCAAAACCGACATTACTTTTCGAATGCGATAAAAAGGACAACTATGTCTCACCTGACCCAAAAGCCAAAGCACCTCTCGCGTGAGGGCCTCGCTCGAAATACTGTCCGTGTGTTGCAGATTAACTAAAAGTTTAATTAGAGCTTGCGTGATTCCTAAATTGATCAGCTGCATCACTGCCATTCGGCTGCTGGATACTGAAAACGACAATTATCGTACGCTTTCGTCAAAGAATTATAATGAAGAATTATATGCTTTAGATAAAAATTTACGAGATACCGTAATAAATTAAAAGCTTCTCGATATCGATCGTGTCAATCTCTCTTAACAAACACGTATCATGAAAACATATTTTTCTCAAAGACTGGTCGAAAAAAAAAAAAATGGAAAATTGCTCGTTACTTGTGGCACTTTTGTTCTTGTTCCCTTTGGTCTTCCCCTTCGCGTTACGGGTTGATATGCACTCGTGTAGTATGCTGGCGATGCTGTAGTTTATCACGTGATCCTTGCAATTCTGGGAAGCAAAGTTTACGAAATAAATTACGATTTTAACGTGTCTCGAATTATAGTGGTTGGTTGGTGTAAACGAAGTTCGAACGATCGAGAGATTTTCGATTCGCGCAAAATGCCACGGAAATAATTATTCTCTGTTCTGCGTGCGTGCAACACTTAACGGAAAATGGGACGAACGGATTTCCAGTTTTGCATGCGGCAGGAAGCCCCCGTAGACAAGACGTACGATGGGGACCGGGCCGGTTGATGCGACCTAGCCACGCCATTCCGTGCAAAATGTTAATCGTGACATGGTTATCCGCATCCTTAATTGGATCCACAATGTGTCGATTAAATGTCCGACCTCCCCGAATACACATTGTTCGGTCACGCCTCTCGAAAATTCGAGTATTAAGGAAAATCGTTACCATCTACGATATTAACATATCCAAGGGATCGAATTTTTCCATAATTTGTTGTAGCAATTGTTGTTCAAAATATCTTATATATATATATATATTTCTGTTGTTGCATATTTATTATTTTTACTGAGACAAAGATCAATGAAATACGTTACGAATAAACGAAAATACCAAAGTTGGATCTTAATGGCCATTTTAATGATAATATTAATAAAGTAATAAAGAAATTCGATTAAGAAAGATTGGAAAAGTTCGTTCCGTTTCACGTCGGCTGGTAATAAAATCTTGATTAAAAACTCACCTCCAATGTTGCGATGAATATTTCCATCGCACCGGAATTCTTGCGCCATAATTTGTCCAGCGTGCGTTCGCGCAATCGTCGATCTGAAGAAATATCAATTATTTCGTTCTTTAATACAAACGAACAAAGATGAAATTGTAATTTTTACGAAGCTTAATCCACTTAGAAGGATAATAAGACAGATTTACGAATGATTTCGTAAACGGTCATTGGCGAATAATTAATTAAATTCGCGTTAATGCGCGAGAACAAATGTGCAATTCGAATTTTAAACGGATGGCAGTTTCCTAGTAACAAAGGCTATACGTCGTTGCCATAATGAGTAATCCGACGAACAGGTGTGGGCAACACCATCTTCCATACGATACCAAACATACTTGGGGGATTGGCAAAATGCGTGGCTTCCATTTCAGAATTGACACAAGGCCAATCGTTCCCAATGCCATGAACGCTATCCACAAAAAAATGTGATACTGTAATATTTTGGCCCAACGCGATAACTTGCGAAATGAATCGACAATGCAACATTTGTGCAATTGTTCTTCCCCGCTCGAAATTTATTTTAAATTGATAAGATAATTATTTCAAGTAATTATTATTCGAGTAAATAATTTTTATAAGAGAAATACGAATACTTGAGAAAATAGATTTCTTAATTAAAATAATCGAGCGATAATGGAAAATAACGAATAATTTATCTCGTACGTTGATGAATAAATCATTGACAAATAAAATTACTTTATTCGTTTAATTTATATTTAATTTATACATTCGAAAAATGTAATTCCTAATCAATCCTGTTCAAATATCATAAAAATATACATGTAACGCGAACATGAGCATAGTATTCGGGAAAAAAAAGGGTCATTTGAACGCGAGCCAATTGAAAGAATCTCAGCTTGCAAGACCAGACACAAGGAATCGAGTTATTCGTGGTATTTACTTTCTTGAGCTAAAAAAAAAAAAAAAAGAAATATTCGATACGATCTATCATGACCTATCGTGACAGCATAAAAGTATCAGAGAAGCACATTTTCCAACGGTGGCTATCTTGTTGTTCGAACGAAACGATTTATTAGTGCAACGACACCGCAGGCGTCCCAATGTGGAGAAATATCGATCGACTCCTTATCAAATTGGCACGGTCGCGATTCTCTTCGAAACGATTTAACGTTATATCGTTTCGGCTTTCTTGGATTGTTTCCAAAGCCGATCCATCAGCCTCTTACCGAGACCTCTTACGTAATCGAGTGACAGGATGGTCGGTTTTTCGAAAATAACGAATGACGCTCAACGTTCCTCGGATAGCACACCTGTTCACCAATACTAAAGAACCGCTGTCGCGAATCGTCATAAGCGCATTGTTGTTCGTGTCGGTGGAAAGGAAATGGACCGTCCAAATGAAACATCGATCGCGCGTTTGATCGAAACGTTCGTACATATAAAACCGAGTTTAGATTCGTTGCACTCGATAAAACGCTCGAGGGTTGATCGTTTGATAATTTGGTGGCATGCATGGGAATACTATCGTGAACGCAATGTGTTTATCTAGAACAATATTTCCCAACAATGTTTATGGAGGCACGATCCTCTCTATTAAGATAATCCAATAAAAATTATAATCAACCTTTCTTACGATTACGCGAAAATGCATTTTTTAATTAAATGTTTTTATGTATCCAGATTGATTGAAAAATATTTAATAAATTGTAATTCGAAATAAAATAAATAATAGCAACGAGAAATCAATTCTTGAAAATGGGCATTCGTCGAGTTTGAGAAACACTGATCTCAAGAATCGTGATCTAGAATCGCGGATACGATTCGTCTTTCGCGTCCGTCACGAATTTTTTCCCCGCATTTAATAACAATCTTTCTCTTTTTCACGAGATAAAATGTAACGAGGACAAACATATACATATATATATTCGAAATCTGAATTTCAATTCGATGCCCTATTTCCCCCTCTCGCAAGAGTGTTCTTTGTCCCGTTCTTTATCCTATTTCTTGGATCAACTTTTCGTCACGAAACTCGAAAAGTTCCGTTTTCGTCCGGATCCGTTCGTGCAGAAGAGGTGCAATTAACAGCGGTCGCGAAAAGAAATTGGGAAGGGATGATCGAAGGGACGGAAACGTGTGGATTTCTGGCCAAGGGGTGGCCGTGCGAACACCGACCCGCCCAAACGATACGAATAATAAATCGTGCAAGTTTCTGGTGATTAGCCCGATGAAACAGGAGCCAACGTTCGCGGTAAAAATAGCAATTTACCGGCACAAGCCCGTGTCTTAAACTGTCCAATCTTGTTTCGAGTCGAGTTGAAAAACTTTGTTGCCGATATTCGAGACTCGAGTCGACTGATCGTCTCCGAAACGAATCCGTTTTTTTGATGTTCCGTTCGCAAAAAAAGGAAACTGTTCTTACATATCTGCTCTTTAATTCTGCATGTCGTCAAGTCTTGAGTTGAAAATTGAGAAAAATGAAATTCTGAACAATTGTGCGAGAAACCGAGTCACGTATAATGTAAAAGAAATGAAAGAAAGGGGCATGAGCGTGGGTTACCTGTGGATGTGACCCGAGCATGTATCTTAGCTGCGATGTTTCTGAATGTATCGACCTCCTGTGGCTTGGACACGCAATTTCGGAGCTTCTCCAACAACGCATCGTTTACAGTCTCGTCCGTGCCTTTGCTGCTCGGTGACATCACACTAAACCGACAAATAACCGACAATCAAATTTCAATTATCGGCCAGAGTTAGAGGAGAGTTACGTACGAGCGTGAAAGGTTTTGCTAAGTCAAACAGCACGCCTTTATCTTGGCAAACCGGTGTCGAGCATGCAATCTCGTGCTACCGAAATGCTACGCATAACAAAGGGGGGATCGCACGAGTTGAATGACGTGCATTGTACATGATGATTGGGTGACAAAAAAAAAAAAAAGAAAATATATATATATATATATAGATATACGCGTAAATTTTACATCGTCAGAAACGAGTGTTGTTAATTTTTCGCTCGATTCGCACGAAATCAAACACACAAAAAAAAAGGTAAAATTTATCGTCATCCTTGTTACATCTGTTGGTGCGAAAAAACAGAAAAATCACGATTCAATTTTTCACACTTGAAAGGAGAAAGAATTAGGAAAAGGAAAAGATAGTACGAGAAACGTAGCGTCATTCACAATCGGGTATCATCAATCGACTGTCCATTGGCATTGCGCCAATTTTGCGCGGTGCGTAATGCGCATTAATCTCCTTTCACATTCAGTTGGTCACGACACTGTTACCCAATGTCGTAGAAATGAAAATCGAACGTCGCCTCGAATTCAAGGTTAATTAACACGGCCAAAAAAGCAAACGGTACTCGAAATAAACGGGGCGTGGATCATGGTGGAAAACAATCGCGCGTGCTCGATCGATATTGTAGACGATCAGCCGCGATCACGATTGATTCCACTTCCTCTCGATCTTTCCATTCGATGTATCTTCGATAGCACGATCTCTTGCTCTTATTCTACTCTATCTCTTATCCTTCCTTCCTTCCTTCTCGAGCGTTAATTGCAAGTTTCGTTTCGTCTGGAATCAATTGTCTACCGAGTTCGAAAGTGTCAGCTATTCGAGGCGTTAAATTTAAATCGATCGATAAGAAGATAAAATCTTGGTACGGACAGAAAGAAATTTATTTTTAGAAGATCATTGTGGAATTAGCAGGATTTTTATCGTTCTATAAAGCGACGACAATTAAAGCTTATTATTAAAAGTGTAGGCGATCGAATGATCGTAATGATAATCGTTTAAAATTTAAAAGAAGAGATTTCCAATCGCCTACACCCTTTTCGCGGCAACTACAAGTCGTCCACGTTCTAAAAACACATTACAGAGCGCAATTAAAATTTATTATCCTCGATTCAATTGTCGAGATCTGACAATTTCATCGGAACATTCCGCAACAACGCGTTTATTGTTTATTTGGCAGGAATCGTATAGCTCTCGGTGCCAATGCGAATTTTGCCATTATCTTTCCAATTTCTCCGCCAAACAACAATGACCAATCGTACTTTGCGAGATATCGAGTTACTTCTTTTTTCCTTCAAAAAAGAAATATTGAAGAGAAAAGAATCGATCGCTAAGCCATTGAATCCGATATTACTTAAATTTTTGTGGATTGTTCTAATATATATTTAAAGACGATATCGAGAGTATTGTTGCATTTACTTATGAAGAAAATATTTATTCGTTCATTAAGATAAAACAAAAAAGCACAGAAGCAAAATTTTTGTTTGCTATTAACAAATTTCTAATAGCAAAGAAAAAGTTTCGATTATTCAATCTCCTCAAAAATTAAGCTTCCCGATGAAAAAATTCTTGTTCCTCCTCCATCTTTTAACGTTTAATCGTATCCTGAATACATGAAATGAAAAAAAAAAAAAAAAAAAGGAAAAAGCGTGCGAGCATCGAAGCGTCTCGAAATGTGCGATCAGAACGAGGACCGGAAACCTGGCGCAGAGCGACGAACACTAGCAGCACGAAACGCGGAGGCAGGCGCTTTTGTTAGTGTGGTGGCGATTTTTACTCTTCATCCTTGGCATCTTGCGCTTTTTCGTTGTCCCCGTGGCAGGTATCCATCGGCCGTTGGTTCTCCTTGTCGTGCTTTTCCAACACACTTTTCATTTTATTTCTCCAGGGATTCCCAAAAAAACACCCTGTCCTTGTCCTCCTCCTCCTAATTGGAAAAATAAGAAGGGAATCGTCGAAAACGCGGCGTCGAGACGAGAACCAGACTCTAGATATCTTATCAACGAACGTTCGAACCAATTATCGAATTATTCTTTTTCTTTCTCTCTTTTTTTTTTTTTGTTTTCGAAACGTCTCTTCAAATCGAAATTTGAACACGTTTCATTCGATTCCACGTTGTCGACAGACTTCTTATTTCGCTCTCGTGACGAATGGACAAAAGGCACGGATAATTTTTTTGTTTTCTTTCTTTTTTTTTTTTTTTCCCCTTTTCTTTTTATTGCGATCACACACACGGTGTCACATTTTATTCCTGGATACTTTGAAAGATGTCACGGTCGGTTTGGATCGGGACAAATATTGCAGAGAATGTCCGGCCAATGCTTGAATCTCGCGAAACGATCCACGCGCTTTGCCACTCCGAGGCGGTTTGACGTTTCGCGCTGCCAAAACTATGTTTAAAAGCATAGCACGCACGCATGAGGCGCCTCTATTTATAGTGACGGCCGCTTTCCGAAAACCGTCCCCCTTTTCCCACATTTTCCATGCCACCCTCCTCGATCGCATCCCTCGATCATTAATCGATCATGCATCGCGAAATCTCGTCACTCGAAAGCACAAAAGTACGCGCGTCACGCGAAGAAGAAAAACACCGTATCCACGTTTAATTTGTGCACACTCGTCGAATGTAAACTTTTAATTTAATAGTTTTTAATTTTAATTCAATTTTCAAGCGTATATATTACATATCGTTTGAGACTCGACGATTCACTTCACTTTCACAACGCGTTGTACGTTTGTATAATAATCCATGAGAAATTGAGAATAAAAAATTCACTGACCATGTTTAACTCGCTCGATTGGGAAAGAGAATTTCTCTCTCTTTCTCTTTAGATTTTAAGGAGATTATGTTTCGTTTTAAAATATGAAGAACTTGTTTCGAAATTGACGGATTTCAACGCGCAAACATATGTCGAAAGAGCGTGGATTATTATAAAGATGGCAACATCGGAATCCGTTTGCCAAAAGATGGAAAACGTCGTTTCATAGTCGTTTTATATGAGATCATCAATCCAATGGAAATCTTTCGACGCTAAATTATAATAAACGGACGAGTTATTCCTCTTTTCATGAAAATAATATTTAAAATGAACACGTTTAAATATGAAGAAATTTTCAAAGACAATTCCGAAATATATCCTTAAATAAATCGGCATACAAATGAAATCACTATAAATATTAATAAAACGTGATTGTCGAGATTCGAAAAGAAGAAGAAAAAAAAAAACATTATCCGGTAAAATTTAACAGCAACGCAATTACTTGGAATGAAAAACAATATCAATAAATAAAAACGATAAAAAACAAAGAACAAAGAAACAGAGCGACCCTTGATAATGTCCTTCGTTTAATTATCGTCATCTCGCGGCCCAACTCTAACTCTTAACCTCTTTCCAATCAACTTATTTCTTTCACAACGACAGTGATCTGATCACGAGAATATAAGAAAAAAAATCACCATTGAAAAATTCCCCAAAATTTATAATCACCACTCTACGTGCTCCAGCTTCAGGGAAATCTCGCGAAAAACAAGAATCACCATCGTGCAACGACACGACGATCGCGGCGTTATTAATAGTCGAATAATTCCAATGAACTCACGGGAGCGAGAAAATGGAGAAAATGGTGGCGAAAAGCGAGGAGAGGAGGAGAGGAGGCGGAAATATCGGAGGAGGAGGAGGCGGATAACCTTCGATGACGACGACGACGACGACGACGACAACGAGAACAATCGCACGGTTGGTCACGCGGCGAAGCGATGGCTGCGCGAGAACAGGACGGTTAACCTCGTCATACTTCGACACACGATTCGAGACGAGCACCGATGACGAAAGGGGTTGTCACCCGAATCGTGATGACGATCCCCGAACGAACCCGTGCATCGTCACGGAAGCTGACGCGAACAAGGCCAGGTGTATGCGGCACTTGTTGATAAACACGAAACCTCCCGCGGATTGATTAGTGGCCGTGCGAACTTTCACGAGCGTAGTCGACGCCTCACGAACTTCTCTCTATCGATTTTCGAAAAGGCGCTTTCGTTCAAACTTCGGTCCACCGGGCTGCCTGCCTCCCCTAGATTCGCGCCCAATCTTTCCCCCTTTTTTTTTTATCCGTTCAAGCATCGCTATTTCACCGCATTTTTGTCTTTTGTGGTGTAAATTCCTCTTTAAAATCGACGAAAATATCATTCGAAAATATCATAATAATTGATCGAAACGCGAGGATATTAAAACGATTTGAACGAATACGATACTATGTATCCACGCGTGTGTCGAAATTTACAAACGTACATTTTATATTTAAAATGAAAAATACACGCGGATTATTAAATACGCGCGCGATACAGGATCGAAAAAATGGGGGAATTTTTTACGATTTGATTAACACCGATGATTCGATTTGATAATTTTAGGTTTACTCGTGGAGCGTGTGTATCGCGTTGATTTTCCGTTATTCGAATAAATAAAACGAGCATTGTTTCGCCCGATAAAGATATTTATCGTAAAGCAGATTATATCGAGCGACGTGGTATTTTCATTAATGGAAACGAATAAAAACAACGGTTTAAAATAATATAACCTATTCAAAAAGATGGATTTAAACGTGGATAATACATACCTCGAAACGTTGTCGGCGTGACATCTATTCACATCATTTCTACTGGCTTCATTGTTAATGCTACACTTCGTGTCGTGGCACCTCGCCATCGGAAGTTGTCTTTTGCATTTTCGCTTAAACAATCTTGAGAGCCATTCTTCGTCATAAGCCATAACAAGACCCAATCACGGCGAAGTTAAATATTTCCGATTTCGTGAATTACGTTGGGCAACCATGATTAAGCGGATAAAACTTTGCCAACTCCGCGATTTTTATATCAAAATTGCCAATCGTGCTATAGTGAAATGAGGTTACTTGTAAACTTTAAGAGAAATGTCAAAAACATTTTTGACAGGGACACCTTGAAGTCAACCTCATGTTTCCTCATCCATCGACGTACGTATTGTACAGTTATCGTTTCCCCCTCGATAACGTATGTTCGAATAACGTATGCGTTCTTTCTTTTTTTTTTTCTTTCCTTTTTTTCTTTTTTTTAAAGTAATTCCATTTCAATCGAAGAAGCGAGGAGGGAGATCCTTCCTCGTACGTGATTCGCGGTGCTCCGTCGATCTCCATCTCTCGTGGAGAGAAACTCGTGAATGGGTCACGCGTTTGATATTCCGCGTAATCTAGGATCAAGTCGAAGAAACGAGAGCACTGAGTGCATTAGAAATGTAGATTCGGGTGTCAAAGCCGAAGCAGGCCACACCCTTCATTCATATTCTAAACAACAATTTGCCAACGTTAACCGGTTCACGTATATCCTTCCACGATCTCTCTTCGTCTTGATCATTCTCCTCGAGACGACAAATAAATAAATCTCGCATTTATACCGTATTTACAGTACTGTGCCATATGAGTGCCAGATACGAACTCGTACAACAATTTTCTTCCATCCATTTCAAGCTCCATTTCGAGAAAAATATTTTCGAAAAAAAAAAAAAAACACGAAGAAATTCCCCGTGATTTCGAACTTTCATCATCCTAGTTTAACGATCGAGTAAAAATTGTATCTTATAAATTGTTGGATTTGCGAACAGACACGAAAACAGATTTGAAGCGTTTGAACATGACGAAGCGTTTGTATCGCGAAAAAATATCACGACGCAGGTATCCCGCGTCGGATGATCGGAGAGAAAACGACGGAAGAAGAATTGAGCGTAGGAGCAAAAGAAAAGAAAAGAAAAAAAAAAAAAGAAAAGAAAACAATCGCAGATGATATTGGAGGACAGGGTGGGAGAAGTTTACTCTCCACGAGGAATATATAAATGGGCGGGCAGGGCTGAAATTTCTAGTTGGTAGAAGATAGTTTGCAAGCCTATAACGAAGTTGTGTATCGCACTATGCAGGTAAGCAATAATCTGTTCGTGTCAATTACTCATTCGTAAACTTTACGTTTGCGAGTTTCCACCGGCAATTATTTCCTTTTTTTTTTTTTTTTCCTTTTCTTTTTCTTTTACACTTGTAACAAATGCTTACACGATACAGGATCGTAATAATAAAAGGATTAAGGATTTAATATTTTTACATAAAAAAATTTCTCTCTCCTGCGCGTAATGGCAATTGGGCAGGCTGGAAGGGTTGAAAGCGTAAAGAGAATCGACTGGTTTTATAAATAATTCCCAAGACGCGAATAACCGTTACATCTCCCGACCAAATCTCTTTCCGTGTTGCCTGCGAATTGAGATCATTGATATGCGAACCACGCGATACTGCGCATCGAGCCAAAGTTTTGTATTATCAAAAGCCCGAGCTACTACTTTATTCGACGCAGAGAACGATCAATCTGTGACTAACTGCCGCATTGTTCCTCGTATACGAATTGAAGTATTCTTCTCGAATTGCAAGAAATTCCTATTGATTGAAATTCATCGCAATCTTTCCATTCAATTTCTTTTCTTTCTTTCTTTCTTTTTTTCTCTTTTTCTTCTTTTTTCAAGGTCCACGTGACGTCGTTTGTCTTCGCTGCGTTGCTGATCGCTTCGATGGAATCGAAACCACTCTGGCCAAGCGTACGTTCGGACGATCATCGATACCTTTCTACACCCATCAACGTGGACAGAGGATTTCTTCAGTACCACGATTCCCCTTATTATGTTTATAACGTAACGTATTATGTTAACATGTACAATGTATAAAATAATCGTTTGATACAACGTTTTCCAATGTTTCTTACGAATAAATAAATCGTTTTTTACGATAGCTAAATAAGCTGCTATTCTCTTTTCACAATTATACGAAGATTTATTTTTAATAGTTTAAAGTAAATGCAAACATCGTACTTTAACATCGTACATATTAATCAAGTATATCTGATGAGAATATTAATAATATATTGTGTGAAATATTAAAAATCTATCATCGTAGCGGACATAAAATATTTATTATATGATGATAATATTTTTCGTAATAGCTCATAAATCATTTTTATTTATTCCTTTATAGCTATATCGAAGTAAATATGTTCTTAAATTATCATAATCGTAAAAAGAAATATAAAAATTATAATTGGAAAAAGGTGTGGTGTCGATTCAAAAATCATTTCGTTGCAAGTTGGAAAAAAAAAATTGGTTTAATGAATGTAACGCTCTTTCATACTCATTTACTCATAGTATTTGATATTTTCGCTTATCTCGCTTAGGTACATTCCGAGGTAAATGCGGCTCCTATCATAGCACATGGGAAACTGGCTGCTTCTCATTTACCTGTTTACAGCTTTTATTACGGAACCCCGACTTACGACTTCCGGCTACCATTGAATCCGGTAAAAAAAAAGAAAAAAACATCGACTCGTTTCGATTAAAATTGAAATCTTAAACTTCTTCCACAGAAGATCGATTTCTATTTTTGATTAATTTGTTTTTAAGGTGTATCCGCTATTACCTGCTCCCCATCCAGGAGATCAACCATCGACTGTAGGTGCAAAACCGATCGATGAAGATGATGATGGTATTGAAAAATTGGAGACAAAGATTGAAGGGGGGAAAAAGGAGAGGAAATGAAAAAGTTAAACGAAAGCATCGATGATAACCTTCATTATATTTAACCGTTAATCGAAGTAACTTTTGTACGTGGTGGAACGAAATTTTGCGAAATTCTTCTTATTTTTTATTTTCATTAGTTCTTAAAATCCGAATTTGACTAACAAATCTTTCTTATACATGGTGTCTCGAACCATTTGAAAATATTATATCTTCGTCGATTTTATAAATTCAACGACTATATTCATTTAATTATCGAGACATTTTTAAGAAATAACGTTTCCTGTCTATGTAAAAATTTACGTTAATTAAATAAAATACTTTTATATCGCAGTTTACAACTCATAATGTATTCATCCTTACGATTATTAATTTTAGATTGCCTATTTATCGAACAAAATATTGTACGTATTTCAACTTCTATTTACAAGTTCTAATTATGTCAGAAAATATGATAAGAGCAATTGCAACTTTTCTTCCGAAGGCGCTTCGACAATAAAATAATCGATTCTCGACAAAAGGCAAGCAATTAGTCTACTTTCACGAATAAATCTTATTAAACGATTTTCTATAATTAAGCATCAGGAGGAAAGAATGGCTCGTCCAACTGATGAAAAACTCTCCCACCCTACGAGCATAAGATAAACCGGGGTCAAAGATACCGTGTACTCTGTGTGTTCGAACGTGTTCATTTCCTTTCTTGGTGCTCGGATCGTTCGCATCGATCGTGAATATGAGCGTGAAAAATATTTGGTCGGTCGGTGTTTTTGTACTGGTACTTTTCGCGATAATCGGTACGTCCATCTTGCACGAGAAGAAAGCCATGAAACGGGATTACCAGGTAGCTGTCGAGCCGAGAAATACGTACGACGTGATTAAGAACAAGATGAGGGGATTGAAGTTGAGAAAAATTGAAACTACCGGTGGGAAGGATTCTCGAATCGACGATTTCGAAATTAAGGCAGCGCCAACTTTCATCAGGATACCTCCCCATCGAATGTGGCACGTGGTGGGGATACATTCTCCTCGTGACAGGGAATATCGTTCGATCGTGGAACGTGAAACGGATAAAGGGATCGATGGAGGAAGTTCATCGTACAAGGGCACAGTGGAAAGAAACGCGACGGAAGCATCGAACGAGTTGAAAGACGCGAAGAAAAGCTACAAGAAATTGAAACTGATCCGAACTCGGGCTGATTACAAGAAGGAGTGGAAGAACAAAGAACAATTGACCTATTCGAACGGTGATAAATCCATAGGCGTGACGAAGAAAACAATCGGCCGGCGTCAAGAGAATTATTTCGCGAATACGAGCGAGGATCGTGTAATAAACAGGTCGAAGCGTTGCGCGATGCACGCAAGGAATTTGAAGGATCAAGACAAATCCGATTATTACTCGATGAGGAAAGCGGTTATGGACAAATTTTACGCTCGACAGAAAGAGATAGCGAAGAAGTACGCGAAAAAAGTAACCACCGCTACCACCATTACCACCACTCCCAAATACATATCCTATAATTTACGAGAAAAATTTAATAAAGATGCATCTTCGGCTAAAATTGAAACGAATGATATTCAAAATGTATCCGCTAAGATTCCGACGAATAATACACAGAATGTATTTTCTTTCGCTAAGATTGAAACGAATAACGTTCAAAAAATTGATAAGACGCTCGACGAGGGAAGAGAAAATTTCGATGAAAATGCCATTTTAATTTCCACGATTCCTCCTATGACAAAGAGGCAAAAACAAGTAATAGAAACGACAACGATATCAAATGCATATCACAATCATTTGAACGACAAAGTTGACAGCAAAAGTAACAAAAGTGTTTCGAAATCAGTAAGTACGAACACGAATGAATATTCAACAAACTTCCATTATATTTGCGCTACAAAATATTTAACAAAATTAAATAGATTAAATAATAGATTCAATGTTCTGTTAGAGATAAGTTACAAAAGATGAATAAAAAGTTACAAGTAAATAATATCTGTCGCGCTCTTAAATGTCATTTCTTTTTTTTTTTTTTTTTTTTCTTTTTCAAATTGATTTGTCAAATAATCTGAAAAATATTTTCAGAACAACGAAGAGGACGACAATGTTCTGAAATGGGGTATTTGCTCGGGTGAATTAATATATCAGCACAATTTAATCATCAATACGCAAAATTCGGTACAAAGTAATATGGATTTAACAACGACGTTGGAGGGTTCACTGTGCGTCACTTGCATAAGAGTCGTACCAGTGAAGAACAAAAATACCACGCTGAATTTCGATGTAAATCGTAACAAGGATGGCAGCATAAGCTCCTTAATATTTATCGCTAAGGGGTTGACGAATATGGAATTTTTATACGTAATAAAGATCTGGGCCGTGAGAAAGATAAACGATCGCTGCGATCACGTCGAAACATAAATCTATATATATATATCTTCTGTAACATTTTTCCTGTAACTTTTTTTTAAAATACAATAATTACCTTTTTATAATATAATTAAATAATTTGCTCTCTTTCTCTTCTCTTCGACCATATAAAAAAATATATTTTTAATAAAGCAAATATAATATTTTATTTCTAGGGATATATATGTCACGCGAGTAAAAAAAAAAAAAAAAGTGCAAATCTGCCATAGCGAATGTATATATAAAATGTTAGATGTTAAGACCATAAGTTACTTGATAAAGTGTTATTCATAAATAATCGTGAAAAAAGTAACTGTGTACCATCCCTCCCAAATCACCCTTTCCTTGATCGATCCACGTTATGCAATTTATATACAATGATCGTTGAAATTAATTGTCTCTCGTTAACTTCACTTCGCCGATCTCGCCGGTCTCTATGATGATAATCAGTCTGATCGTGGGCTTCAAACGTGACACGAAAACGAACCTCGTCGGACCGGTTCCGCTTCAAGAACTTTTCGGCACAGCTGTTGGAAGGGGTGGCGGCGGTACATCCGGTATTTTCTCCTTCTCCTCCTTTCCAGGGAGTTTCTTCTCCTCGTGATAGGCTGGGAGCAGATGTTCTGTGAGCCCGTTTCTCGGCGTGGTTGCAGGGATAGGTTCGAGGGTGCCGTAGGGTTGATAGTCCACGTAGTACGTGCCGGGAACAAGGTGAGGATTGAATCCGCTGTACGTGTAGAAATAAGGGTCGTAATACAAGGATTGGTAATTGGGATAAAAGCTGAGAGGCTCCTGGTCCCCGCTCTTCCCCTTCGATCCCGACTTCGAGACACCTTTATCGCCCACTTCTTCTTCGTCGTTCGGATTTGTCGATTCCGTTTTGTCGATCGACTTGGACTGTTCGATGGACGAGGGAGCTGTTTGAACGTCGTTCGGTTGTTTCGACACCCGTTGGGAAAGATGCACCACTTCCGGCCCGGCTAAATGAGGCGCCACTTGGGTGTAATAAACAGGTGGCACGTAACCGATCGCCGTTCGATGAATCACGGGTTGAATTACCGGGTATGCTCTAGACGGGGATAAATTTTGATTGCTCGTTATCACGGCGTTGTACACTTTGGGAACTCTGAGAAGCCCCCCCGGATCCCCCGACGCCAACTTTATCAAGGCGAGAACTACGAATAGATTCATCTGAAAAATAATTGAAGCAAAGCGGTGGTGAGTGGAATAAATGGAAACAATGAAAATTTAATGTAACGTTATTGTATATGGATCGATCTATAATTGAAACGGATACGCGGTGCCGAGTAAATCGTAAATGTGACGGAGAAAACGATATGTAGTTCAAAGTCCCTTGTCCGGGCTCACAGCCGATAAATCTAGCACAAGCACGCGTGCACACGACAATAAAGAGATTCTAAAACCAACGTACGAGAGACAGTTGCGGCTATCAAACGTTGATGCAAGAACAAAGCTATGCAGAAATACTTATATATTGGGTTAGTGGAAAAGTAATGTCAGCTTTATGAGTGTATAAAATATATCTGATTATTACGATATATCCTGTTTTCGAATCGTTTAAATTTTGTATCAATGTATTAAATCTGTTACTGTAGTCTACTCGCAATTTCTTTTTTTTTTTTTTATTTACACGTGTTAGATCGAATTAGAATTCGAAATTCAAAGAAAAAAAATAAACAAACAATCCATCTTTTTTAAATTCGTATAACGTAAATGATTGCGAAGTAATTATTCTCGTGTAAAATGAATTTAACATAAACGTGTCGCCATTTTAAAATTTAAATTTTAAATTTGTTATCATATTGGAAAATCAAAAATCAACGTGATTTAACATATATATTAATTTCTTTACGGAGATATAATAATATCTCGTAAAAGTTTATTCCGCTTGATTTCTGGTTTATTATCTTTAGCTTTTATCTGTGTTTGAGAGAGGAGAATCAATTCATCCAGGAAGAAAGGAACTCGCATGATCCAACCGCGTGAGTCGATCAAGTGACCATTGTTTTTACATGGAAATGTAATTGCCATCCACGAGTAAAGATCTCGCGTGCGCTCGATCAAACGATCGCATACAAAAGAGTCGAACTACGCGTGCACGGAATAGAATCTTGACTGTTTCCTTCGTAGGTGTGTACCCACAGTCGAGTTGTCGCGCCTAGTAAAATTCTTGCGTTCCTCTTGATCTTCAAATAATCTTTAGAGAGAACACATCTCACCGACGAAAGCGGTTACCTTTGATAAAAAAAAAAAAAAAAAAGGAAATAGCTTGTCAAAAAATAAAATACTGTTAATAAACTTAATCGCTATTGCTTCGACGAAGAAATAAAATATCTTTCGGATAAATAATGCAAATGATTCATCTCGTTAACACGCGCGAATCATCGAATTTTTTTCTTTTATCAATTGTGTTCTTCCTTTGTGTTCTTGCAACAAAGCGCGATACTATTCTGACGAGCAAAATGGACGATGAAGTTTTCTGATCGCGTAGATCAGAACGATGATGATCAACCGATGAAATGAATGAAAAGTCGCTTACCTTTTACAAGATCGATCCTTCCTCCTTCGATGTATCTCCCCTGTGAAACAACAAGGATCGTCGAGAAGCTGACACTAAGTAGCAAGAGAGCTGCATGGAACCGTAGTATATATGGCCCATGGGGTCTCAGGGTTCAAGTCCTACCTCCCCCACTACACGCCACTTGGCGAAAGTACTCCGCGATCGGTACTGTAATGTTCAACATGAGGCCCGTCTACATCAACTACTGAACTGGAGAAGGACAGGCATTTACCTGGGCACAGGATCGCAATGCACTGTGCACGATTGACCGATCGAACCGAATGCCGAATTGTTTAAACATATGCTCGAAATAAATTTAATATGTTAAATTTTAAAAATTTTTATTCAATTTTTTTATTCAATTTTATTTCTGGAAATATATTCTTCGAGATGTATAAATAATTTCTAGCTTTTTATTCGAAAACATTTCAGTTTTTTTTTTTTTTTTTCTTTTTAATTAATATTATCGTTTCCGTATCTCAGAATTTCACTAGAAAATTAATTAGATTCAATATTCAGTATATTCAATTTTTTGAGAAATGAATCTTTGATTCTCTCAGGGAAAAAAAATTGCTAAAGTAAGGTAATAAATAATGTATTAAAAAAGCAATAATGGTGGTAAAAATAACACTGATAATATACTAACGATTAGAGTTTCTTATACAGCTACAAATGGCAAAGTTAGATAATAAAAAGATCTAAACGTGTCCTATATATATGTAGAGGATACTCTTTCATCGATCGAGCATTTATCAATAAATTGATTGATGATACCCGTGCTCAGGTACTCGTAACTACGACCTACACTACTTTATTATCTTTTTTATTTTTCTCGTAACTATGAACTTACACTATTTTATTATCTTTTTTATTTTTCTCGTGAATATGCAATAGTTAGAAATGTGCATGGCATTTAATATTGATCGGGGAACATAAATTCCCCGAGTAGATTGAAACCTTTCGACGAACGAAAAATAAAAAAAAAGGCATAAGGTCTTTGATCGTTATTAAACTTATCGATGATTGGTTCAACAAGTGACGGTTACTGTGTACGTTTCATGTATGTACGAAAGTTTACATCAACTTCCAACTGACATGTATTAATCATCCAATCTGGAATCGATCGTAATGTATCATTTATAACTGAAAAAAATATATGAAAAAAATAATTCGACCACGATAATTCCAAGAAAAAGAGGCCACCAAGATCAATGGTGAATGTTCAATGACGCATTTTGCCGTTTACGTAAAATATGAAAAAAAAAAAAAGAAAAAGAAAAAGAAAAAGAAAAAATTGAACAATACCTCGAGACAATCGCTCTTCTCTGGAATAGTTCGATCTTCGTTCGCATTGATCAGACGTTTATATGCAAAAATGTTTAACTTATGATAAACTGACTAAATTAAATCGACGCCAGAATCAACAAAGTTGTCTCTCAAAATTTTCACGATTTATACTTTGCGAAACTCTGTTCCCGTTATATCGATTTTACATACATCGGTTCTTCTACTCGTTTCGCGCGCGAATCATGGCGAAATCTTGGCAACGAAAGATGAAAGAATCGTGAGAAGGAAATAACCAATTGAGGATTCGAATCGTGCGCGAAAAGCTACAACCTGGAATACTAACGGTTGATTTATAAATAAATAGAGATCTTTAGTGTAAAACGTTTTATAATTAAATTCTAGTTAATCATGTAGGGTGTAGGTACTTGATTATTCCATCATAATTTTAATATAAAATGGGAATGTCTGAATGATACGAATGACGATCTTAATAAATTTAAATACACAAAATTATTAATTAAAAGTTACATATCGATAGATGTTGACTCTATCATTAATTTTGATTCGATTGAACAGCGTGCGGAAAATACGTATTTATACATATATATATTGATGAGCAGATAGTAATCTTAACAATCACATTCCACTCTCGAACATTGTCATCGGTATCATCCCGCACGCCGTACTTTCTTACAAAGTAATAAAAGTAATTTCGTAATTATTTTGAATTTACAATCTCGCACTGAATGCTCGGAAATATAATTTAACACTAACTCTATAATTTTATAGAATCATCAAAGACTATCGTAACTCCCTTCGTTTATTGTGCTTTCGAATTTCACCAATCGTCTTCCTCCAAGAAGTAGAATTTCTTCTACAATTAGAAGGATATCGAAATTCTTTCTGCATAATTTTCGAGTTTTTACAATTATCTTCCTTCTACGATTAAAAAAATTAACTTGCTGACCTTCTATACCGTTATATAAAATTCTAAACACGATAAACTTAACGAGAGATTTACGATCTCTAAGAAGTGAATCTCGAATCGATGATTTTGTCATATAGATTCTATCGGAATGTAGCACATTCTTCTGAGCAACAGTATCGGGAAATTCGGTAGGAATACGATGAAAAGCAGCACCAAGGGCGACAGCAGCAGCAGAACACTGGCGTATATCACCAACCACCATACCGTCGATATTCCAAGAACTGGATCCAACATCGTGACTCCTCCTAATTGGCCAAAATGTCAGGCACTCAGAAATTCTGAAGCATCTGCGCCTCCTTCGGATAATTCGATTCCACGAATCCAATACGTGTTTAGAATCATGATTGATATATTCCTTCGTGTGTAATTGGTTAATCGAACGATTCCTAAAAATAGAAAAAAGTGTAAGTGAATATGTTCAATTGGAAAAATAGAATTTTATGATATATTTCTATTCTAAAAAATTTAAGCCTATGAATATTTTCCTTTTTTCTTTTTATAAATCAAATCCTGATTCTTGAATACATTAAACGATATTAACTGTCCACTGTATTTGTAAAAATATTGATGATATTCAGGATCGCGCACGTGACACATCGTTAATCGGTTAGGTTTGTCTTGTCATTTTATGATGCTTACTTTTCAACGGTTTGAAAGACTTCAAATATTTAAGAACCTGGGCATCCTGCATAATAATACGAGTTTCGAGTTCTTCGTTTTAATATATTCATAAGTGAATAAAAGTTTACTAGAAGAAATATTTTTTTTCAATTTCTCTTAAGATAATTCATCGTTGCATCTTCTTTCTTGTCTTTCTTTTTTTATTTGAAAGAAATTTTTCTCTTGCTTGCAAATAAATGAATCCCTTTTCTTCCTAATTATTCGAGTAAAAACAATGTGATTTTTTTTTTTCTCGAAGCGTCATTATCGTTTCGAGTATTAAGAATTTCAAGGATCTTCATCCGATTTACATCGGATTTTTATTTTTCATAATAACGAGTTCTGTTGGAAAGGTGATCCACTCTTTCGTACGATATGCGGAACAATGAATACCGGATTGCGCAGTTAAACCACAGCCGACAAAACATTGTTCGATCGAATCGATTATTTTTACACTCTATTATTGAACAGAGAAATGAAACAATAGGGATGACAGGATAGAACGAAACGTAAGAGCAAAATTCTTTTGTACTTACTCACAATTTCTAATAGATTTTTAACAAATGAAAATTGTCTTTTATGGTAAAATACATAAAATCTGAATTTAATCAACAAATTTTTCAAGCTAACAATTCAAAAACTATTGCTTTTATTGATTTTATAATAAAAGTTCTTCTTTTTTACTATTAAAGAAATAAACTCTTTTTTTAATTATTCAATGCATAATTATGTTTTAAACTCGCTATATGAACGAATTACGTAGTTCATCCGGTTTTATCGATTGCGCAATCGTAGAGCATATCATTCGTAACTGTTGTGTAATTCATTGTGATATCTTGAATTTCATAATGAATAATGGAATAGAAGAAAAGAAGACCCAATTCATTGATTCTTTTAATAGAAAGAATAAAAAAATATTGAAAGAAATTTTAGAAATTGTATTCTCTCTAAATTCTTGGGATCAAAAATAAGTTACAATTCCAAGAGGTGTATAAATACGTATGTATCGAATTCCAAAAATATCATCCATTGCTGAAAAAACGGATGCACGCAATCGTTCTTGTACGATTAAGTACGCGTGTTTTGATAGATCATACCAGTTGAACGAATATCGTCAAACGAGTCGGATAATCGAATAAAAAAAAAAAAAAAGAAAAAAAAAATATCGAAAAGAGAGAGACGATAAGAGCACGAACGCACGATAAAAAAAAAATCCACGTCGATCTAAAGGTAACGCGTATACGCATGCAAGCGAGTTTGCTATCCTGGGACTCTTGCGCGCGCGCGATCACACCGCGGAAAGTGAAATTTTCGCGATTGCGTAATGCTAGCATAATAGTATTATCCGACGAGTAGATCGTGAGCTACACTATTACGAAGTATACCTCTAACGAAGGTATGATTGACCTCGTTGCGGTTCTTGAATCTAATATCGAAATGGTTGTAATCCCCCCTCCCCTCATCCCTCTCCCTTTTTTCGTAAAATATATTTTTTGATCGTATTTATGGTTTTATCAGTAATGTATCGCATAATTAATTTCATTCTTTGCATAACTTATGTAAAAGTTTCAAAAGAGATCGGTAACCAATCTAAAGTGTTCAAGGTTACATTAAACGCTTTTACGTATCTAAGATGGAATGTGAATTTTTACATGCTAATTCAATGTGTTTAAACACATCGATACACATCGATATTCGTGATAATTATAGAAAAAAAAAAAAAAAACTCTCAGTTGTTAATGTTGAATTCGTTTTTTAGGTCAAAAGAACAGAATGAGTATGGTTTATGAAGGACTTCCAGATTTTCGATCCCTTCTCCGATATCATGGCGTCCTTGTTCCGTGAAAAATCTGAATGGTACACACGTATATCGAACAAAATACACGTTTATCTTGTATCTCTAATGTTTCACGAGGTTCCTCGTGAAATAAAATACGCTTTATTTCAATCTCTGCTACTCAAACAAAAATATCTTTTATCTATCTAAATTTTTTTTTTTTTAATAGCCTTTGAAAAATTTGAAAAGTTTGATTTTTCAAAAAAATCACAACAAATTCCAGTAAAAAATTTAACATAAATAATTCGTGTTTGATCGTTTGACCTTCGAATTATTAATCGTTCAAAATTTCAAACAACTTTCAAATGGTCATCGATAACCAGTTAAATATAAAAAAATGTATTTGAAACAAAAAATATATAACATGTAATATATTATAAATATAAGATATTTATTAAAAAAAAAATTAATAAAGATAGACATAGATCGTTTCTTACCATTTTTCGATCCGGCATGATCTGCGTCATGGAAAAATCTCACCGATCAGAACGTAAGTGTCCTACGAATGATAATTCCAGTAGTGCACACCACGAATCTCGATCGCGATCTCCACGAATGCACGACAGATCGTTGCGAAGGATCGTTTCTCGTATGCGTTCAGTCGCTTTCCGCGGACTGAGAGCATGCTAGGCTCCCATGCTTCGATGTCCCGGGTACTTTCCCTTTCTTTCGGCGCTTTGAAACCGACGTACGCAAGTTGAGTCACCAGGTAAGGCTTCGTCGACAGTGGATGGCCCCTCCGCTTACGACTATTTGCGCGTCTGTCATCGTTGAATTCTCGATGGCATTGACGATTTCCAGTTTCGACCTCGGCTTCTTCGTTTCATGGACACGAGATTGGGTAAGATTTAAGAAAAATGGAAATATTGCGTCAGGTCAGGTGAGTAAATGAACGTCGATGGTTCAAACGAACATTCTCTAAATTTTTTTTTCGTCGTTTTTATATATTCTTCTAAGAATGAAACTAAATGAATTATTTTTATTTTTGATCTCTCAAGATATTTTTGACAATTAAATTTATCCAATTGATTAAATTTTTTGAGTAATGACAAAAGAAAGGATTAAAAAAGGGAAATATGAAAATTATGTAAAATATATATAAGGTTATTCATTTGATATTAAAAATTATTTTAATATCTTATTTGGCAAATATGCATGTATACCTCAATAATATAAAATTGAATATTTTTTTTCTTTTAACGCGCCATAATTTGTCGTAGCACAGTAGCGCCATGCTGTTAAGTTTAATCGAAGCTCTAACTCGTGATGCTTTAATCATTTGAGTCCGTTGTATATATCGACGTAAGATAACATTGCTCAAGAGTATCGATAAAAAAGAGGGAGACGCTGCATCAGTAATAAATTTTCATCGGAGCGCTTTATATCGAATATAGAAATACTGAATTCAGGTAGTAACAAGCTAAAGCTGTCAGAGAAGTTTTGGTATTCCGTTAATTGTGAATAAAACAACGATACTATAATTTGTGATGTATCTATAAAAACAGTGAACATAATTATAATTGCAAATAGTATTATTAGAAAAACAGAAGAATTTGTTGAATACATACTAACATGTCTTCCCTCCAAAAATCGATTTTGAAATCAAAACTACCACCGTCGGGTGTCAATTTTGGAATTAGCTCTAGGTTAGTTTATTATGACTTATATAAATTTAAGTTATTAAATGAAATCCTATTAAAGTAAAATTTTTTCATAAAAATAATTTAATAATACGAACTTTTTAACGTGGATTTATAATAGAAAATTTCTAAGTTTATTGTTAAATATTTTTTTTTTTTTTTTTGTAATGAATAGGATTAATAAATCAAAGGGATTTCAACGTAAGAGAGATTATGATCCAGTTCAATGGACTCCATATTTTGATCATTCTCAAGATGTGAAAATAGGAGATGACATATTTCATATTTATACTAAGGGTACAGATGGCCCGACATTAGTATTGTTACATGGGGGTGGTTACAGTGCATTAACATGGGCAGAATTCACTGTAGGTATTAATTATTAAATGTTTGAAATATAAATTTATAATTCTCATATCATGTATGTTTCAGAAATCAATTATGACTATGATAATATGTAAAGTTATGGCAATTGATCTTAGAGGACATGGAGATACTCAAACTTCAAATGAAGAAGATTTATCTGCTGATACCTTAGCAAAGTAAATATAATTTTTTTATAATTATAAATATAAAATAAAATATCATATTATTGATGTTTTTTTAACTTTTAGAGATGTTGCAGAAATTGTAAATGCAACAACAAAAAATAATCCTGTCATCCTAGTGGGCCATAGTATGGGTGGTGCAGTAGCTGTTAGAGCTGCATCATTAATCACAAATTTATGTGGATTAGGAGTTATTGATGTTGTTGAAGGGACAGCCATGGATGCATTAGCATCTATGCAAAGCTTTCTAAGATCAAGACCATCTAGTTTTAGTTCTATTTCTCAAGCTGTGGAATGGTGGTTAGTACTTTTAAATTTTAAAAAAATATAAAGTAATTAAGTACATCTTTCTGTGTCTTTCATGTAGTTTTTATCAGTCAAGAAAACTTGCTATTCTAAGTACATTTTTCAGAAGGAAGGCACATTTTTGGCTGATCCTGTACAAACTAAAATGTTATTTACTTCTTTAATATATTACATATTTGTGTTGTATAATCAAAAACGAGATTATAGAAGAATGTCTCTAATTATCCACATTTTAGTGTACGAAGTGGCCAAATCCGTAACATACAATCAGCTAAGGTGTCAGTTCCTGGACAAATAAGAAAGTTAGTATGATATATTCATATATCATCACTGTTCAGCTCACTGTTCTAATATATTATTTTGTATTGCTGTAGCATCGAAACTAATAAATTAGCCACTCATGATATTGATTTGTTGTCACAATCATCAACATGCCAGTGTATTTCTGAGACTACAATCCCACGAGAAGATATTATTCAAGAAGAAGAACCAGTAAATATGCCACCACCATCTACTCCAACCGGTACTACTGCTACTAGAAAATATGTTTGGAGAATAGATCTATCAAAGACTGAACAACATTGGCTTGGATGGTTTAAGGGTTTGTCAACAGCATTTTTAAATGTACCAGTTCCAAAAGTACTATTACTAGCTGGTGTCGACAGATTAGACCGAGAACTCACTGTTGGACAAATGCAAGGTACAATATTATCGATATTAAATTGTATATTAAATATATTAAATATTTCTAAAATTTATTTTTTCTTTTTTTATTAGGTAAATTTCAAATGCAAGTATTACCAGCATGTGGACATGCAGTACATGAAGATGTTCCAGATAAAGTAGCAGAAGCAATTGCTACTTTTATGGTTAGACATAAATTTGCAGAATCAGCATCTGATTTTCCACGGTAAATTTAATTTTAATTAATAAATTATGAGAAGGAATAGATCACAATACGAATTTTTACATGAGTTTATTTTTTCTTTATTTTTCAGAACATTTCCTGCTTGTTAGGATTTTATGAAAAATAACGGACATTTGTCAAGTAACATGATTATAAAATTCGATAAATTAGTTAAAATGAGCATTTTATTTATTTAAAAATATGTTCACAAAATATATATGAATACATATGTAAATAAAAACATTTTGTCGACAAGAAAAATAAATTTGTTCGACGTAAAAAATGTATTTGTTAAAAATAAATTTGAATATGTTTATACAAAAGACATAGGTATAAATATGTACAAATTCACGATAGTATATGCAACGTATCAAATGGAGTACAAACATTGCTTTGTCTGTGTTGAAACACTATGTTTTAAACATATATTTATAGACAAAAATAATGTTACTTTTATGATATAGTAACATTTGCAAATATCTTCTTCTGTATCTATCTTCCGATGTAAGATTTTTAATTAAAATACTTTGAAGTTCCATACTTGCTTTTGAAGTTCCATACTTTGTGCAGAATTTTATTATTAATCAAATCCGAAACCTGTTACGTTTTTTATAACAACACATGGAGCTCCCGCACGACCAGCATTTAAGGGGGCAACCTTAAAATGTATTAATTTTATAATATAAATATTTTAAATTTTAACTTTTTTTTAAAATATTTTATAATTAAATAATATTCTTACTGGTTCCCATTCATTAAGATGTGGATCATATGCTTCAACAAGAGTGAGATATTGTTGGCCATCATAACCTCCTACAGCCATAAGTCTATCACCAAGTACACAAACACCAACTGCATCTCTTGGTACACTCATTGGTGCTACCATAGTCCATGTATCTGTCTTAGGATCATACCTATACAACATTTATACAATAATCGTTAACGTTTACATATATACATATTAGTCTAAAATTAATAAATATAAACTATTATATATTTTTTAAACATATATATATATATATATACCTTTCGACACAATCAAATCTGCTGGCATTAGGATTACTGGAAGGTGCATCATGACCACCTAATGCATAAAGACATCCATTCACGACACCTACACCTACACCACCTCGTCGTTTTGACATTGGCGCACAAGGTGTCCATTTATTTGTATGGGGATCATAACATTCCACAGTATTTAAACATGAGCTTATATCTCTTCCACCTACAGCATATAATCTGAACAGATACATATAGGATATATAACAATAATAAAACGATTGAATACATATCACAATATTTGAAAACTTACTTATCATTCAATACAGCAACACCAACTGTGGATCTTTGTATAGACATAGCAGAAACTGAACTCCATTGACGTGTGGCTGGATCCCATCTTTCAACAGTATCTAGAAAACTCCAACCATCATGACCACCAACTGCATATAAAGGTCCACCTAATACAGCTACTCCTAATCCATGCCTATGAATATTCATAGGGGATAATGTACTCCAAGTAAAAGTTGAAAAATCAAAACATTCTACTGTATTTAATGTTTTTAATCCATCTCTTCCACCAGCAACTATCAATTTTTTATCAACAACAGCAGCACCAAATTGAAGTCTTCTACCACTCATTGTAGCCATAGATTTCCAAGCATTATCACGCAAAGAAAATGCATCTATTGAAGTAGCACCTAATAAAAATTATTAAATATATTAAATATCCATTTTATCATTTCATATTCAATTCATTTACCTTTATTAGCATCCATTCCTCCAACAGCTAACATATGACCTACAGTAGCTTTTCTGGGTTTTGTACGTCCTGATTGAAGTAATGGTCTACGCTCTGGTAAAAGATGATATTTTAATGCTTCCATAACTAATTCTTGTGCCACTCTTTGATCTTTGAACATTTCATTACTTTCAATATTGTCTGCTATAAACTGTGTGAATATAATAAAGTTTATAGCAAATAATTATATTATTTTCTTAATATAAAATAATATTTATTTATTACATATTTACTAATACTTACTGCAGGAGATAATAGAGGTAATTTTACAAGGCTTAATAACTTGCTTGCATCTTTCTGTCTATTTTCTGGATCATATTCCAACCATGTCATAAGTGTCTAAATTAACAATATTAATAATATCAATGGAAATTATATTAATTTTTTTTAACAATTTTCTCTATATAAATATAAAGTCTTACATGAAAAATAATTTCTTCTGAAGGAACATTGAGATCTTCTGATTCTAAAAGTTTGGCAACTTCATTTGCAGATAATAATAAAAATTCTTGATTCTTTGTAACTTCCATAAAATGTTTAGTTGTATATGCATGAGCATGATCTAATAAATCTGAACAACCTTGTGTATCAGCAAACATTCTTATTCCTAAGCAATTACTCGGATGAAGTTGTTTTCTAAGAAATTGACAACATGCTTTAACAACTGGATTTAATTGTAATAAACGTGCTGTTGCTAAAAGAGTTTCTACACTATCTTCCCTTAATTCTATGCAACCTATTTTGTTTAAAAATATAAAAAAAAAAAATTTTTAATATTTCCATAACTTATAAAATATATTTATAAAATTTCTTACATTTTTTTTTTTTTTCATAAAATTATACCTGTGTAACAGTAACAGACTAAAGTCCACAATGCATCTCCATCTACACCCATTAATTCAACTTCATTTTGTGCAGATTCTCTTAAAGAACTTGTAAACATGGCAGCAAAATATTCTGAACTTGCACTAAGTACTAAACGATGTGCAGGGATATGTCTTTTTCCTAAATAAAAATTGAATTATTGATGTAATTTGTATATTAAATAATTGTAAGTTTAAATAATGATAAATCTTTTGTTTTAATTTAGAATCAAATGACTCATAGTTGATTAACTAATAGTATTTGAAAACAAAGAAATTCTCTATTTACCTGCAATTAAAATGACATCTGTCAATTGTTGTTCATGTAAATATTTTTCCATAACTCTAAGACTATTTTCCGCATGTTTCGACACGCGAAAATTTTCATCTTGTGAAGAACTATTAGATACCATACTCGAAATACTATGTTCACTGGCAGACGCTTCTTTGTTTGAGAACAAATATTCAAGCTCAACTTTATTCGATCCTGCTCCGGTATGGCTCGTTCTTGACATTTTTATGCGAATAGGTTTTGACAGATATTTTCGTAAGAACTCTACGTTTTATTTTCACAAGGCACTTTATTTTGTGAAAGTATTTTAATTCTCATACGATCGACACTCTATTGTGCACTCAAGCTTGACAATAACGGAGTGTTGACGCCGCGCTTCACCTTGACAGTTTGAGATGTAAAACTGGATGTAAACAGTGATTCGCGTTTAGGTACGGTCAGTGACCAGCTCTGTTCGTTTCTTGGGTCAGCGTACTCCATTTACCAAAGTTCTATATGTGATAAATTCAAATAAAAAAAGTAATAATATACTTCAAAGTAATAAATGAACCATTTATGATTAATACTGTAAAATAATCATATATTAATATCTTGTACATAAATAAAATTATATTTTTTTTATTAAATAAAAATAAAATGAAATAAATAGTATTTCTTTCGTAACAAAAAATATAAGATATTTCGATGATTAGTTTATAAATTTAAAAATAAAAAGAATTTATGTATTTTTAAATTTATTGCTCTTTGTAGAATTCGTAAATTTTTATATGTAATTTTTAAATACAAAGTTTTAGGTTATAAAATTTTTATATTTTATTATATGCACAATAATATTTTAAAATTCATATCACACATAAATAACTGATAAAGATAATCGATTTGATTTATTGTTAATTATCATATTATAGGGAAAATATAAAAAAAAAAAATATTAAATATTTAAAAAATTACGATTTTATTATACTTTATATTATATTATAAACATATTTCATTTAATAATTATATTTATTTTTCCTAAATGAGGCACATTTTTTTTTAGAGATCACATATAGATATTACATAGAATGCATATAATATAAAATATACAATATTGGAAACATGTACATTAAAAATTTTATGACATGTTAGTTATTATATTTCCTTTTTTTTTCACAACCCTACATTTTATTCTATTGAATTATTAACAAGGAAGTTTTTTCATATTTATAATTATATAAGTTTAAAATTAATTTTGTCTAATCTTTTCAAAAAATAATAATTGTAAATTCTTACATATACATATGAAACTGTGCATTATTGACTTTGGCATGCTATAGTTTTGTTTATATATGTAAATGATGTTTAATAAGAAATACATGTTAAGTTTATATATATATATATATATACTTTATATTACAAAAAGTTACTGACAGAAAAAACACTTTAATTATTTTTAATACATTAATATTTTATATACATAAACAATAATAACATCATTGCTATTATTATATGTCTAATTCCTAAATATTGCAATTTTTAATAAAATATTCCATATATATATATAAAGAGGTAAAATGAATCATTCATTTTGTTAGTATTTACATGATACATAAAAATGGCAGCATTTAATTGTAATATTTAAAGAAAAAAATGCAATGTTGCATTTGTACAAACAATACTTTACATGATAAAATTATCATTATAATAATACCGTTTATCTGCCATGGAACCATAATCTTTATTCAAAATATTATTGTCCTTTAATGCACTATATACAGATTGCTCCTCCACACGTTTGTTCCGATTTTGTCGAGAATTTTGTACTTGATTCTGAGAATGACCCATAAAAGGGTCTTTTCCGACAACAACAAAAACGATCTATAAATTCTGATAAATCACTATCTTCAGAATCATCTTTATAAAGACCACTAGACGCTTCGTCAGTACATGCCGCAATAAAAGTTTGCAAATCATTTTTTGGAAAACCATCGCGATAATAAATTTTGATCGTATCGTAAGCATCCATTATCACAGAAATAAATAAACTTAAAACCACGTATATATATAATGATATAAATGTATATAAATACATTCTAGAATACCACCATAACATCGGTGATTTACTGAATGATGTTGCCGAAAATGTAGCAAACATGTCATCACCATTAATAAGTGCGAAAAGACATTCGGAAGTTGTAGCAAGTGATCTAAATTTCATATGATATGGCCCTAAAATTAACCAACCACAGAATGTGAAACCAGCATAAATAAGAATTGCGCATATTAAAAATCGTGCTACTTTAGGGGCTGCTTTTTTCAATGTTAGAATAACAACGTTATATGTTTTAAAGAAACCAAGATATCTTAATACGCCGAACCAAACGAGTAAATTTCCTGTACCAAGAAATATGCTGCATATATTCCAATGATCACTGCCAAATTGTTTTCGTTCAATTTGTTCTTTTATAGCTGAGCCCATAATAATTAAAAGATCATTCACAATGATCATAACATACCAGAGATTTAAAAATTCTAATCTTCCTTCAAAACTTAATATTTTACCATATGCCTTTTTGAAGAAATTCATAGTCTCAAATTTTAATAACTGTGCTCTATATATAGCTCTTGAACATAATATAAGAGATACAGTACAAATTAAAATTACAAATAAATTTAATAATGTCCTTAAAGCTGATTCAATACGATTATCTGTTACATAACGTGTATCACCTTTACATTGCAATCTTTTTGGTTCAGCATCTAATGAAAGTAACATTTGTCCATCAAAGTCACGATTATCAAAATTAATTTTAATATTAAATTGATAACAATCAGGAGGTGTCATAGGTCCTGCAGCTTTTAAATTAACTGTTTTCAAAGCAAACATTAAATGAGCTTTAACAAGTGCTGAAAAATTCACTTTAATATTTTGCTTAAATAATAATAATTTTGATTTACTAGATTCATTATAAGTCTTATCAGTTATATTTATGCAAGTTTCAATGATTTCTTTATCAAAAACATAACTTTCATTAAAACCGAATATAATACCTTCTTTATATTGATATAAACATAGAATAACTGGGCCAACTGAATTGTCTTCTGCAATGTACGAATAAGATCCAACTGCATTACTAATATTATAATAACCATCTAAAGCATAATCAATTGTATTATAGAAATCATCTCGTTTATAAATTGCCAAAGGACCTGTTACTGGTGGATAAACAGGTACCTAAAAATTAAATATATAAATTTTATTTATATTTATTTATTTTTATATAGATTTATTAATATATTTTAATATTAATTTTTGCAATATTTAAAAATAAATAGATCGAATAATATCTTACCTCTAAAGAACTATCCCATCCTCTGAGAAATAGATGTGAGAAAGCTATTCGATTATCCCAAGTATAATTTACATGAATGTAATTGTTATGTGCAAACAAACACAGTTGTATCGTGACTAACAAAATTTTAATAACTTGTACGATAAATTTATATGGAAAACGACGCTTTGCTTGCCACTTTTCAATAGGATTCATAAAGAAAAATTTTAATTTTCTACGCATTTTTTCTTCGGTAAATAGGGACATATTACAGATAGGCTGATCTGTTATACTTGATTGATGACTGTAAATAAAAAAGATTTTAATAAATATCATGATCTTTATAATTTTAATATTTTAATATATAAAAATAATATTTAGTTTTATATAATAATTTTAGCACAATAAAATTCTTTAAATTATGGAATTAACGATAATTGTATAAAAAATATAAAAACTTTTATATATTAGTTTATAATATTAAAACTATAATTATTTAGTAACTAATTTATTTCATAATATTTTATTTAAAAGTAAAATTCTTTTAAAAAATACTCTTTATAGTGAACATAATTAGAAGAAAATATAGATTTTATTACTACAAATTTACTGAATTAAAAATAACTTTTCAAAAAATATCAGTATGATATATCGTGCAATATTGTATCTAGAAGATATGATACAGAATGTCTCATGATTTGTACAACAGATAACAAAGAAAGAACAATAAAAAAACATAAGAAAAACAAACAAACAAAAATAAAATAAATCGCTAAAAAGTAATGAACGAAATTAAAAAAATAATTACTATAAAGAATGTATCTGTACGAATAATGCGATAAAGTTACGAACCTTGAACTGACCGTACATTCGTTAAGTAATTCATTTTCACCAGCTTGTTCGTCTTCACTGTCGGGTCCATTACTCCAGGAATGATTTCTAAGAATATTTCCTCTGGATTCATCTTTTACAATCCTTTTTCGTGGCTCCGACATTTCGATTGTTTCTTGTCTCGACAGTTCGATTTAAAGTAATTTATCCCGCGGGATTATCGTCCCAGTTTCCGAGAAATAATGAAAGAGAGAATTGTTCACATACGTTGATCTATATAGCAATACGAATAAGATTATTATATGACATCAATTTTTTTCGTAGAACTATGAATAGAGGAAAAACAATGTACGTACTGATTTGTTACACACAATGAAAGACAATTGTAATAATCCGATGTCGTTAACAGTGGCCATCGCAGGCCATCCAATATACGCACTCAATTTGACTGATCAGCGCGCTATTTCGGCCATTTGTGAAACCAGCTGATCAAGTAGTGGGGATGTGTGGTAGAGAGGGCGCTAATCGTTCAGTGGTAAAGTGAGTGTTCATTGCAAATATTCAACGTCACATTTTTAACGTATTTACAAGAGTGTATAGCTTTTATTATGTGAAAAAGTGAAAACGTATGGGAACAATAGAAAATATTTGAATAAACTTACAAGGTTGGTAAATATTTATCGATAATTCTTATCTACCAATAATTACCGCATAGTCAACGTACGATATCAATCTATCTAAACAATAAAGTATAAATTTACTTTAAATATCTATGTACAATGTACAAAATTTTATCACTAATCAAATAACATAGCAAACATTCGTATAGAAAATGTATAATTAGTATATATATGGAATTTAGGTTTACAAGAGTGCGACAATGAACAAGCATTTTCCCGCGCATTTATCCGGTCAGTTTATAACAAAATGGCGGAACTTCGAAACACGAAGAGAAAGAAGAGGAAGGAAGAAGAAGCGATAATCAATTATCAAAGGCCGAGGAAAGAAAACTCGTAATCATACGAAGGAAGAAAATGGATTCGACGTTCAAAGGTAAGTCGACAACGATATTGTTTCTTATTTTTCATATCATCGCGTCACTCGTTCGTGAGCGAAACAAATCGCGACACATGATTGGCGAAAATTCGAAACGATCGAAATAGCTATACGAAGTATGATCCTTCGATGAGATTGAATCGGGAACACGAGCGGAAAAGAGAAATTTTTACGTTGGTATCGTAACACGCGGATAGCCCGCGTGCAATGATCGAATGACGACAGGGGGATGGTGCGCGCGTTCCTCCGTTCGAGAATCGGTGCGCGTTGCACCCTTCTGCGCCAGCGTATCAGACTTCGCAACACACACGAGTAGCGTGTCCTGCCGCGCGCGCCAAGTGTCTAGGAGAGGAAACGCAGCGACGGAGCCGAGCTAAACTCGGCTTTCCTCGACCGAGCGTAGGCGCAGTCTCTCATCGTCAGTCTTTCTCGCCCCCAGCTTCGAGGGAGCACGCTTCCGGAGTCAGATCTATCTTGGAGTGTGTCCACCTCGTCTCAACCCTTAGCTGTCCTCGGTCACTGACCCGATACATATCGGCCCGTTCTCGCAATTCACGCGATCTCTCACAGTTGTGCTGTGTGCGGTGTGGTCGCGAGAAGTGTTGTTTGCGAGGTGCTGCATTTTCGGTATCGCTGCACACCCAAGAATAAATAGAAAATATTTCGGTGCGAATATACCGTTGTTTCCCCTTTTTTCCACTGGTCATTGTCATTCCGTTCGTACATACCACCCCTCTCTGAACTTTATCGTTCTATTATTCGCACGATTATCGCTGGCTCGAGTCGCAACGCGCGACTGTACGCGAGACGAGTCTATCGAGAGAAGCGTCGGGAAGCATGGTGGATCAACAGCAGCCGGACCAGCAACAGGAAGCCGTGCCAAGCGTGGTGGAGTTGAACGTGGGCGGTGTGTTTTATACCACCGCTCTGACCACCCTTACCCGGGAAAGCGATTCTCATCTGGCCGCATTGTTTTCGGGGAAAACGCCGGTAGAGAAAGATGCGAAGGGGAAATATTTTCTGGATCGAGACGGGGTACTGTTCCGTTACGTGCTTGATTTTCTGCGCAATCAAGCATTGGTTCTGCCGGAGGGGTTTCGAGAGAAGGAGAGATTGAGGCAGGAAGCAAATTTTTACGGTCTGCCTGGATTGGAACGTGCCATTCTGGAGAACGGCAAGTCTTCCGGTTCCCTGACCTCTTCCGGGAAGAGAGCATCCGGACACATAACTGTCGGTTATCGCGGAAGCTTTGCATTCGGTCGCGAGGGTCTGGCGGATGTAAAGTTTCGGAAGCTGTCGAGGATCCTCGTATGCGGTCGTGTCACCCTTTGTAGGGACGTGTTTGGGGAAACTCTGAACGAAAGCCGTGATCCGGACCACGGCACTACGGATCGTTACACCTCGAGATTCTTCCTGAAGCACAGTTCCATCGAGCAAGCTTTCGACATGCTTCAAGAGCAAGGTTTTAAGTTGGCCGGTAGCTGCGGTTCCGGTACAGCTGGCGGCAATTCGGAACAACTCAAGCCTGGAGTGGATTTTGAGGAGAATCGTTGGAATCATTACAACGAGTTCGTCTTTGTCCGCGAGTAAATAGCATACTTCGTTCTTCCTTGGTCTGAATTAGATGAACAAATGGGAATAGTTGTTGGGAATAGTCGAATTGTCCTTTCGACACGATCGACCAAGATCCAATTCCAACATCGAAATAGAATTCTCCGATCTTCTCCGTCGGTGACGACGGCAAAGAGGGAATTGGCTTCCTCGAGACTTTTCTTCTTCTTCTCGAACCGAGATCGCAACCGGTAGGATAAAAAGAGTAGATGAACTTTTTTTTCGTCGTCAACGCACGACCATTGTGCATGCATTATTCAAATTCGTCGAGCTATTATTGCAACGATAATGTCGATCAATTCCTCTTCCAAATATTCTTCCACCAACGGATATGGAAAGGATGTTGACCAAAGAGGCACGTTGTCGTTATTAAATATGGATTGAATCGAACGGATGAAATTCGTCCGCGAGCGGGGGAGTAGAGATCTTCATTGAAATTAGCAGACTCGTCTCTAACGCGTGTATTTCAACGTGGTGTTGAACATCGGTTGAAATACTTTGGGGAGGGGTGAAACAAAGCGAAGTTCACTTTGCTTAATTTTGCGATAATTGGCGGTAGAGACAAAGGCCAAAGAAAGTTGGACGACTACGAAGAGAATAACACTGGATCGTCGGGTTTTTGCAAGTTTTGTTTCATCGTTTCACTTCAGTTAACGAAGAATGTAAAAATTTTATTGATCTGTAAAAGATCTCCCCTTGTTGTACCGAAGAGAACACGAAAGGATTTTGAACAATAAGGAAAAATCAATATTTAATCGCCAGATTCGGAAAAAGCATGAAAAGCATTTACGAAAATCCCTTCCAACTCTTCTCTTCCTCGTTTCTTTTTCAAGATTCAAATATATTCACTACATATTCTACGATTCATTCTTCGCGCTTAATCGTTCGCTCGCTGAATATTATATTCTCCCAGATTGAATCGAAAAAACTTTTCCCCCCTCGAAAAATATGATCTAAAGTTTGATATTGATGATCGGAGAGACACGTTGAGAATGCATTCTTCTTCCTTCATCGTTCGAGAGGAACGGGATGCCGGGATATTTCCAAGGATAGAACGAAGATGGAATGCGTCTTTTCCGATTTTCCACTCGCCATCGATACAAATCAAAGAGGAAATTTCAAATAAGGGAAATTTTAACAAGACCAAGTAGCGTAAAGCAAATCGATAAAATATCTGACATTGAAATTATTTTAAAACGGGTATCGAAACTGTTGTACGAAGAATTGTACAAGATTCCAAGAACAGGGTGTACACCTTTAAATTTCTCTACTAAATGATAAAAAAAAAAAAAAAAAAAAACAATTCGTTCATCTATATCGATACATAACTATTATCATCTCAGACAAAGCTGAAAGGAAAACGGAGGATGGATTGGATCGAAGATTCAGCTTCAGACAACGCTGGTCGACTGTTCGAGGTTGAATTTGATATTGGACAGTTTGCGGGTGTTATATTGGAACAAGCCTCGTGCAACGTAAATTGTGTGTACGTACAAGCCAGCAACGGTGTTGAACACGTGTCGAGCGATTTCGAGTAACGCGTATATCGAGAACGCATCTCTTCGATATTCATTCTTTGTTAGACTCTTTATCGCGCGCGACTGGTCTTCGTTTTCGCGTGCATGAATTTGTGCAGTGTAAGTAATACAGAAATTGCACTCGCTTTCGACATTTCCGCGTCGCGTGTAGCACGTGCGGCTACACGTATTTATTTCTTACTTAACACTTTAGACAAATAATAATTGAATTACACTTCTCACGCGTTCTCGCGTCTACGATCGTGCAGAAATTCGATCGAATTCTCTGTCTCATCTCGATTAGAAAACTGCTTAAACGATTAATTCGTAAGAACGCTCGATGAACTTTTTGAACGAGTATTTAGCGGCGGGAAAAAGGGAGAAACGGAATTATCGTCGACAATGCGACGTATGGGAACTTTGATTTTTCGAATTTTCCTTTGCTTCTTCTTGTGGTTTACTTTTTCGTGAAACGAGTTTTAGGTAAACTAAATTCTCTGCGTTTTATCGATAGATTAATTAGATTTAGTTAGTTAGATTGTCGCGAAATAATTTCTAAGATAATGTTCTGATATCAAATATTTCCAAAAATTCGTTCACTCGTTCACTGGAATGAAAACAATTTATTACGCAATTTATTGGAAATAAATTGAAAATATTTTTGCTGGAAAAGAATTCTGCGTTTCCAGAGAATTTCGTAGAAAAATTTTAATGTTTCTGGATTGGAAAAGATCGGGGAAACGGCGAACGCACAGGTATTCTTCGAAATTCTTTCGAAACGGCCGCAATTTTTCAACATGAACGCTTGCGATCGTGTCACGATTAAGTAAATTCTTTCCGCCCGAGAGGATTCAAATACCCGAATCCATCCTAAGATTCGCAGAAAATTTTTTTTCACCCTTCCCACTCTTTCACCCATTTTCCCGTTTTCCATTTCAATCGGCACGCAGGCAACTTGAATCGATCACAGTTTCCGCGCGATCGTTTTCGAGCGAGACAATCTTATCGCCGACTCACGCGAGCATAGATTCCTTTCTTCCGACACACTAGTTCTTATTAGATTCCGGATAGAATTATTTACGACGTCGTGTTGCGTTCGTTTCAAATCGACTGCTCGCGACCACGGATGCGAGTAACGGCGCACGGATCGTTTAGATAGCTCGAATAGATTTGCAAAATGGTAGAACGTAAAACCGGATATCGAAAGCTCAAACAAGTTCAAAGTTAAATCGGATAGAAAAGGAAAGAAGTAGCGATCGATGCGATTCGTATGTTGATTTATTATTAACCCTCCGTACGGATTCATTTTTTTTCTCCCCCTCCTAGGATATATTTTAAATAATTGTCAAAATAAATTCGACAATGTTACACCTCTGTGTGAAAAATAATTAAAACTGCAGTGGGTTAATATTTCTATCCGAATTATTTAAATCGGTCTTCCCTTCGAATATTTTACGCCCACCACATTAAATCGATTTTCGAACGAGATTTTTTCTTTTCCTTCTCGATTTTTCTCGACATTGTAATCCTCCATTCTCGCTCAAGTTCAGTTGCATGAAACGTGGAGGCGCAAAAAGCCTCCGCTTTCAGCCGGAACATCGAAATTCGGCAAGAACAAAGACGATCACACGGTTCATCGGCAACACGATGACGTGTCAAAGGACGCAAAGGCACGGACGGCCGACTCGAGAATTGGTAGAATTCGACGAGAAATTGGTGGAATCGATGATGTAAATCATCGGCTCGCCGCGAAACGCGAAAACGGAGGGAGGTTCGCTCTCCGCAAAATGCAAAGTGTCACTTGCACGCCCGGATAAATCGACCGCGACTATTTATGAGGGGATCGATGAAATGGCACGCGTGCATCGAACGTTGTTTTTCGTCTTCCTGTAGGATCCGCCTTTTTCTAAACTTGATTTCGTTCGAGACGAGAAACGTTCGCGCGAAATATATATATATATACATAGGCCAGGTGCATCGGAACGAATCGAGAGCGTGAAATGTCGAAAGTATAGGCGAAGCTACGTACTCAAATTTGACATATCATTGTCGATCTTTTTATCGGATTTAATAGGATATTGAATTATTAGTAATTTAGCGTTTAGCGAGAATTAACGTAGTTTCGCGTTTGGTCGCGAATTTGGTGCGTAGTATATGCATCGATTTTTGAAAAGCAAATTTTTATGCGATTGTCTTTGAAACATTCGATAGAGCGTGGATGAGAAATTTAAAAAAAAAAAAAAATAGAGGAAATAAATATGTAAATACATGTAAAATATTTAAAAGGAAAACAAAATTTTTAATTCATTTTTTCGAATATACAAAAGTATGAATTTACGTAAAAGAAAGGATTCATTTCATACAAATTAGAAGAATACCAGCATCGATCATTTATCGTTTAAAATTTCGTTTCTCTTGTAGAAATCTCTGCAAGATTTACTACTTACATTTGGAATAATTTTACAATGACGTATGATCGGTGGGTAGAATCTGAAAAGGTACAAAATGGAACTCGAGATAGGTCAGTGGTCAGATATCACGCGGGGAATTCCACGAATCATGCAAATCCAATTGGCCACATTCCCAATCCTGATGTACCTGGCGTGTCGGGCTAAGCTCGAAGGGATCCTCGAGTACATCTCGACGGTATCGGTTACCTCGGATTTATCTCGTTCGAGCCGTTTCCGTTCCACGAATTTTTGCAATTCAAAAGCGAACGATCTGGAATATCACGCGGACGTATGATCTTCCGACGAAATCGACGAAAAAATCGATTGGAATTTCTATTCTAATTCGTAGATTAGAGGAGGTCTACTCTCGAAAAGAAGTTTCGAGTAAATCTAGAAAATCGATCGAACGAATAGTTCAACAGTTCTCCACGATTCTTGTTCGCTCGAACGTCTCGTCTCTTCTTTCCTTCCGATCGAAATAAATTCATCAAATAGAGAAGGATTGCGAGGATCTCTGACGAACGAACGCGCCGAAACGTGAACGCTCGAGTGATGGTACGCGAATTTTATTGCACAATTATTACGAAGCCGTGCTACATTATTCGACGGACATCCGTCGATCAAATTTTTTCGTAAAATTTCAATTTGGAAATCGCTCTGTTCTCTTTTAGAGATATATTTAAATTCATGGCTCGTCCAAATGAAAATTCGGATCTCGAGGGGTCGGCGAAGATTAAATTGAAAATTGAAAAACATTCTACCCCTATATTCTCTTCCATCCGACCCCTCGTTGATCTTTCCACCTTTCCGTCTCGTCGACGTGTCAGACTTGTTAAAAATTAAAAAAAAAAAAAAAAAAACACACGGTGTCTCCGATTGAAATTCGCGTTTCCTCCTTTATTTCCATCTACGCTTGTTTGCCGACGCGAGAATCCACTTTCGAGCCGCGTTTGTTTCCTCGAGAGAGTATTGCGCGGCTTCACGAGGATGTTACGGATGTAGCGTGTAAGACGAATGCTAGACGTTGTGACGATACTGGATCATTGTACATGTATATACATAAATCGAGAGAGGAAAAATAAAAAAGAGTAATACGACGAGCGAGTGGAATTACTTCTCCCCGAGATTTGTCCCTCTTTCTCATTTGTCTCCCTCCCCTGCTTTTCGTGGATTGAACGTAAGCCGGATCGTGAATTAGAGTGGATGATAACACTTGGTACTTGTGCTACTTTCAACGTATGAAGCAATTTCAAACGCGATGAGGGTATACCCATATGCTCGAATGTATTCTTAGTTTCAATTGTTTCTTTAACTTGCAATCTTACTTGCGATTTACGATCTTGGTACGATGTCGATATATTGGAATGAAATAACACCGTTAATTAAATTTATTTTTAAAATATGAATTATATTTATAGATCGATTAATCCGAGTTAAAGTTATGTGTATTTTTTTTATTTTGGAAAAATAGATTTGCATAATAATTTCCCGTTTATTGTATACATCATCGAAAATAAAATCACTGTTTATGAAATAAACTCAATCTTATCTTTAATGGTTAACTAAATACTTTAAAGATATTTTTCTATCGTATTATGATTATTTTGTTTTATATGCTTCATTTATATGCAATAATTTTTCATTTTACTTATATTTCATATCAAATCACGAGCGATTTCACACCGTTAATAGAATTTTCTTCCTTCTTAAAATTATTTTAATACATTGTAATATCTATTTCTCGTTATCTTCTATTGATGTTTTATAATTGAAATTAAATACGAAGGCAAAGAGAATTAAAAATATTATATTAAAGAATGAATTGTCGAAATATTTAAAATAAATATTCATAATCTGTTATAATTATATTTTTAAACCACAGTTCAACATTCATTCGTTCATTCTTTTTTTTCTTTTTTTTCTATTAAAATAATTTAATGTCTCTTTTGAATGTCTCTCGGCAAGAAAGAATAATCTAGAATTTCAATTTCACAGCAATACGCACGATATTGAATTATCGAGTGCGAGTACAAAATGATCAATATCTCTCGGGGAAACATTATAATGAAATAACTTAATTAAAAAAATGATAAACTCGACACGTTTTACTATCTGTAAAGAAAATAATTTCAATCCATCGAAACATCGGGATTAATTTCTAAAAGAACGTAGCATTAAAAATTATAATAAATGCAAATTCTTGAATCGAGATTTCTTGACACCGTTTCTCATAACTTTCTTCATATTGTCTGACCTCTCTATTATCCTAATCTTTCCGTACATTAAGTTACTAATTTCTGAAATTTGCTTTGACAAAGCGTTCCACGTAAAACTTTCATCGTTTCATAATTCTAAGCTCTATTTAGCTTTAGGCTATAATTACTTAACACTCTCTGCGCCGACGCTTCTAAAAAATGAAAAAAAAAAAAAAAAAAAAAAAAA